CAGCGCTTCTGCACTCTGTTAGGTCTTGTACCTACCTTGCCTCACTTGCTTACTTCTTGACCTTGCTTGTACTGTTACATATATATATACCTGCCTGTTTAGCTTTATATATATGTGACCTTGCATGTGAACTGGCCTTGTGGCCTTGAACTTGTGCTCAGACTGTGTGGTGACGTTGTGATCCACCTTGAGCTTGCTTTGCCTTGCTTTGCTTGACTGGTCTTGTGACCCCTTGTTCTCCCCCACTTTGCCTATGGGGGTGTGTCAAACTTATACACTATAGTCTGTGTAGGCTGTAGTGGGGTAGCTCATATGGGGTACAACATTCTAGGGTTTGGTACTTGTACTCCTCATGCTGCTCAATGCATTCATTCTCGTTCTAACTTTTCACAAAGGACACACATTCTGCCATGGCGACAAGATGCATCTGCCTGCCTTCATCCTTGCCCATGGAAAGCCAGACAAGGACAAGCGGAAGATGAAGGTGGAAGGGGTCGATAGGGAGGGGACCCCATCGTCTCATGAGTTCGTGCTCCACGAGCGACCTCTGCCCGTTCAAGACACGGACGGTGATGTGACAGCATGCTACGAGTTGTCCACCAAGTTTGTGCGGGCAGTTGTCCAGCAGCTTGAGAAGCGCCTGAGAGATTTGTCTCACCTCGATGGCTCGAAGCTCTTCTTGTCATCGAAGTACCTTCACAACGATGACAAGCGTACCGCGGCGTTCAAGCGCTGGCTGAAGCAGCTCCATGTGCTCTTCCGCGAGACTCTGCCCGGTTTGTGCACTTCTGATTCTTTGAAATTTCCTTCTGCGCACTCATGAATGTCACATCCTTTTGTAATAGCCTGCACACGGCCTGCTTCGCATGACTTGTTCTCTTAATTATCAACACCTCCCCCCCCCCCCCCTCCCCCTCCCTACGCTAATCTGCCGCCTTCTTCTCCTTTGAGAATCACTTCCCCTATGCCTCAGGCTTCAACTACACGAAGGCTGTCGCTGAGCTCTGGATGTTTACATCGACTATGCATTCCCAGCATCAAAACGAAGATTTCCTTCAGGCGCTCAGCAACACTCTGCGCGACGACCAGTGGCAGCGCTCCTACCCCAACATCATGCTGCTGTGGCAAGCAGTCGCTGTGCTGCCTTTGAGCACGGTGGAGTGCGAGAGGGGGTTCAGCAAGCATAACATTATCAAAACGTGGGGCCGGGGGAGCATCTCAGACACATCATTGGGACACCTCATGCGCTGCTCTCTCCTAAAGTACACCGTGGACTGGTTTGAGGTCGCACGCATCTTCCGTGGCGACAGAAACAGGCCAACTGCAAGTGCAGACCACCCGGAGGGACCCGATAATGAGTGATGTTTGTGTTAAACAGGCTAGGCGAAAATGAGAAAAATAGGCAAAGAGGAGTTTCACTAGCAAGCAGTTGAGTACATATAGGAAACCCTAATTCGGGTTGTACTCGCTATAGAGTACCCCACTGCAGGCTAGACAAACATCACATTCTGACACAACCCCATAGTCAAAGTGGGGTACAATCAACACAACAAGCAGGCAGAGCAATAGTTCACAATTATAAGCAAAGCTAGAGGCTATCACAGAGGGCACGTGAGGAGGAGGAGAAACTGTGTGGGCGAGAAGATGGGAGGCGACGGCCGAAGCTGCAGACACACGGGCAGCAGGAGTGCGCAGCACTGTCGCTACCAGGCTAAACCCGGACTACACGGCGACAGACGCAGCTGGCTCACTGTGCTCCCAGGAGTGCTCACACTGTAGCTACCGGGCGCAGAGCCCCGGACTACTCAGGCCACAGGGGGTCGTGGCTCCCTGGACTTCAGGCGCTGCGGACGACAAGTCGGCTACCTCCGGTCAACCTCCCCCAACTGTCCCACACCCCGTTCACACACTCCCTGTTGAACCACTAGCACCGCTCACACGCCACCCCCCTCGTACCACTCCGACGGCTCCAACACATCCACCCCCCTCAGCGGTAGCTGCAGCAGTGGGAGACGGAGGAGGAGGAGGAGCAGGGGACGGCTCACACACACGGCACCCCCATACTCTCCACCCCCAAACCCTAACACAGGAACGCGGGCAGCAGCAGGGGTGGGGCGCCGTCAAAAGCTCGGGGGACGGCATGCAGCACTGGGGCAGGCTGCCCGGGCCGCGCACGGGCCTGGCGCAGGCCGGACGAACCGCGCGCGGGCTGCCCGGGCCGCGCGCGGGCCTGGCGCAGCCTGTACGGGCCGCGCGCGGGCCTGGCGCAGCCCGTACGGGCCGCGCGCGGGCCTGGCGCAGGCCGTACGGGCCGCGTCGGGCGACGGGGGGCGACGCGCGGGTCGCGGGGCGACGCGACGGGCTCCGGCGGGGGGCAACGCGACCGTCGACGGGGGAGAAAACCGCCGCGCGCCCCGAGCGCGCGGCGGGAAGAAAAATCGCCGCGCGCCCGGAGCGCGCGGCAGGCAGGAAACAGCAGGAAACAACAGCGGAAGCTTCTGGTGGGACCACCCACAGGATCGACCCAGGAGGGTCGACCTGCTCTGATAGCATGTTAAACAGGCTAGGCGAAAACGAGAAATAGGCAAAGAGGAGTTTCACTAGCAAGCAGTTGAGTACATATAGGAAACCCTAATTCGGGTTGTACTCGCTATAGAGTACCCCACTGCAGGCTAGACAAACATCACATTCTGACAGTTTGGTTAGTGGTGGGCTATGTAGAGTTGCATGTAGGGAAAGTATGAGGTAGTGGCATTTGGATTTTGCTATTGCAAACAGGGTGGGTCCATAAATACCCTCACAAAGACAGGATACTGGCCAAAACACATTGATTAGCACTGGAAAAAATTTGTCAGAATGTGATGTTTGTCTAGCCTGCAGTGGGGTACTCTATAGCGAATACAGCCCAAATAAGGGTTTGCTATATGTACTCAACTGCCTGCTAGTGAAAACGACTCTTTCCTGTTTCTCGTTTTAGCCTGCTATTCTGACATGCTATCAGAGCAGGTCGACCCTCCTGGGTCGATCCTGTGGGTGGTCCCACCACTTTGATGCTTCCGCTGCTGTTCTGCCTATCGCACGCTATGAGTACGCGATGTTTGCTGCGTGCCGCACGCTCAGGGCGCGCAGCGTTTTTTCTTCCTGCCGCGCGATCAGGGCGCGCGGCGGTTTCCTGACCCGTCGAACCGCGCGTCGCCCCCCGTCGCCCGTAGAGGCGCCCCCGGGGACCCGCGCGTCGCCCCCCGTCGCCCGACGCGGCCCGCGCGACCTGCGCCAGGCCCGCGCGCGGCCCGTACAGCCTGCGCGCGGCCCGTACGGGCTGCGCCTGGCCCGTACGGGCTGCGCCAGGCCCGCGCGCGGCCCGGGCAGCCCGCGCGCGGTTCATCCGGCCTGTGCCAGGCCCGTGCGCGGCCCGTACAGACCGCCCCAGTGCCGCACGCCGTATCCCGAGCTTCTGACCGCGCCCCACCCCCGCTGCTGCCCGCGCTCCTGTGTTAGGGTTTGGGGGTGGAGAGTATGGGGGTGGAGAGTATGGGGGTGCCGGGTGTGTGAGCCGTCCCCTGCTCCTCCTCCTCCTCCTCCGTCTCCCACTACTGCAGCTGCCGCTGAGGGGGGTGGATGTGTTGGAGCCGTCGGAGTGGTACGAGGGGGGTGGCGTGTGAGCAGTGCTAGAGGTACTCCAGGGGGTGTGTGAAAGGGGTGTGGGACAGCTGGGGGAAGTTGAGTGGAGGCAGCCGTCTTGTCGTCCGCAGCGCCTGTAGTCCAGAGAGCCAGCTGCGTCTGTGGCCTGAGTAGTCCGGGGCTCTGCGCCTGGTAGCCACAGTGTGAGCACTCCTGGTAGTCCAGAGAGCCAGCTGCGTCTGTGGCCTGATTGGTCCGGGTATAGCCTGGTAGCTACAGTGTGAGCACTCGTGGGAGCACAGAGAGCCAGCTGCGCCTGTCGCCTGAGTAGTCCGAATATAGCCTGGTAGCGACAGTGCTGCGCACTCCTGTTGCCCGTGTGTCTGCAGCTTCAACCGTCGCCTCCCATCTTCTCCTCCTCACTTGCCCGCTTTGATAGTCTCTAGCTTTGCTTATCACTGTGACCTACTATTGCTTTGCCTGCTTATTGTGCTGATTATACCCCACTTTGACTATGGGGGTGTGTCAGAATGTGATGTTTGTCTAGCCTGCAGTGGGGTACTCTATAGCGAGTACAGCCCAAATTAGGGTTTGCTATATGTATCCAACTGCTTGCTAGTGAAAACTACTCTTTCCTGTTTCTCGTTTTAGCCTACTATTCTGACAAAAAATTTTCCACCCTGACTGTCCGGCAAAGGGCTTTGGGGGACCGTGATATGGCAGGGTGCCCCAAAACCAATTTTGGGCCCTGACAGCGACGACTAGAGTAACTGCTCAATAGCGAGTCAGTTATTTGTCCTTGCTACCGCGCTGCTTTCGGTGAGTCAGAGGTCGCTGACCTTTGACCTTCGCTTAACCTCTTACTGTTGTCTCGTGTCAACCTCCCGTGGTTGACTCGCTTGTTGTTTCGCTTTAGTTCATCTCGCTTACGTTGTGGTGCTTGATACTTCAGAAGCGCGAACTACATGTTTCCAACAATCGCCCGGACATAAAACATATACATCTTATCTCGCACACGGGCAAAAATGGTTGGGTTGTCTTGTATTTGGAACGGTTTATGGTGTGTTATAAGTCTTATAAATGGACAAAGAACCGTTTAGAAGATACCCCCTCGTTGTACGACTACCCTGAACACCTACACAGCCTTATCTCGTACACACAAATATGTGTCTTATAATGAGGCTACCTCGTTTATAAGAGACACCCGGATAATAGACACCCCATGTCTTCTATTCAACAGTGTCTTATATCCGGGTGATGACATGACAGATACCTCTTCCTCATTATTGCTCCTCTGATGTGTGCCGCACCACCCAGGGATGGCCTGCATGGAAGAGGGACGAACAGACATGGCATGATAAGGCATGGTATGGCAAAAGCTACATAGTTTTGTCGGCTTGACAGGCCTGCACCAGCCTGGTAGCATCATATTCTCTGCTCAGCAGGGAAGCGGAGCTGATGCCGAGCAAAAGCTGCTCTATTAGTGCTGAAGGGACAGGTTGCAGAAAAGGACCACATTTGCCTGATGGGTCTAGAGTCGAGAGCAATGAAGGGAGACATGAAGCAGCAGAGGTGAGTAAAATCACGATGAACCTAGTGGGAACTGCTTATGCAGGATGCACTCTCTAGGGTTCTTCTTGAGCATCCACATGCATAGTGATGCAGCCATGCTGCCATGGGCGCATGCAAAGACACTAAGCGTCCATGGAGAGCCAAGTAGGCACTGCTTGTCCACGTGCATGTGTGCTGTGTATGAATGTGTGCTGTGTGCATGTATGAATGTGTGCTGTGTGCATGTATGAATGTGTGCTGTGTGCATGTATGAATGTGTGCTGTGTGCATGTATGAATGTGTGCTGTGTGCATGTATGAATGTGTGCTGTGTGCATGTATGAATGTGTGCTGTGTGCATGTATGAATGTGTGCATGTACGCATGTGCCAACACCCGCTCAGCACGTCCGCTGCCATGATACGGGTGGCAAGAATCGCTTCGCGCATGCATATGAAGAGGGCAAGTTGAGGGTTCAAAGCAAGCATGAGAGATGGTGGCCTGGATTCACTCAGCACTTTCTGTGCGGGGATGCGGGGGCGCAGGTTCTTCTTGAGCAACGACCATGCGCCTGGTGAGCCCATGCTCAGCTTAGCTCCTTCACACTGCAACCATGGCTGGCCATGGGTACATGCAACGGCACCCACACAAGACCAGATGGCATGCATGCCTTATTCTCACTAATCACTTGTTCCGCCGTGATACGAGAGCGAGGGGACTTCTTGAGCATGCGCATGATGATGGGGGCATGATGATGGGGGCATGACGAGCTCCTTCACATTCCAATGCAGGCCCGCATGAGCGAGCATGCACTGGACTGGACTCACTGAGCACTTGTTCCGCGGTGATTCGAGAGCGCGGGTTCTTCTTGAGCATGCGCATGATGAGCTCCTTGACGTCGTCCGACACGCCCGCCCACTTGAAGTACTTGAAGTCCACCTTCTTGCGCCGGATCGCCTCCTCCAACGTGCGATTCGTTGACGCCCAGAAGGGCGGCACGCCCGACAAGATGACATAGAGCACCACCCCCGCGCTCCAGATGTCTGCCTCCACACCATACACTGCATCCAGCACCTCCGGCGCCATGTACTCTGGCGTGCCTGCCACCTCAGAACACGGGTCCGCTGGAACAAGGAAGGGAGAAGTGAGGGAGGGGGAGTGGAAACGGGAATGGGGACCACCCCCGCGCTCCAGATGTCTGCCACCACGCCACACACCGCATCCAGCACCTCGCGCGCCATGTAGTTCGGCGTGCCCGCCACCTTGGAACACGGGCCGGCTGCGAGGGGACAGCAGGAGGGAAGAGAGGAGGTGGTGAGGAGGGGAAGAGGATGGGTGGGGGATACGGTTGTGGGAGATGGAGAGAGAGGATGGGGACAGCAGGGAGTGCATATTGGAATCTGTTTGAAAGTGTACGGCACGACCCCGCGCTTCAGATGTCTGCTTGACATCTATACTCGGAAACCCAGCACCTCGGGTGCCACGTGCTCTGCTGTGCCGTGCCTGCCACCTCGCTGCATGGACCCGCTGTGAGGGGGATGGGGGGAGGAGTAAGGGAAGGTGGGGAGCAGGGCAGTGGAAAAATGTGGGGGAGGAGAGGTAGATGTATTGACAGCAGGGGGCGTACTGACGTAGAGCACGGCAGATGTGTGCGTGGACTTCATACACGGCATCCAGCACCTCGGGTGCCATGCCATGCCATACCATGCCCTCTGGCGTGCGTGCGTGGGGTGGGGACGGGGACCGGAACACAAGGAAGATATTCTCAGCGGCACGGCTGGGCGACCTGGAATGAACCGGCAAGGCTGGGCGACCTGGAATGAACCGGCAAGGCTGGGCGACCTGGAATGAACCGGCAAGGCTGGACGACCTGGAATGAACCGGCAAGGCTGGACGACCTGGAATGAACCGGCAAGGCTGGACGACCTGGAATGAACCGGCAAGGCTGGACGACCTGGAATGAACCGGCAAGGCTGGACGACCTGGAATGAACCGGCAAGGCTGGACGACCTGGAATGAACCGGCAAGGCTGGACGACCTGGAATGAACCGGCAAGGCTGGACGACCTGGAATGAACTGGCGCCATGCTGAGAGGGGACTCAGGCTCAGAGGACACAACGCGGCTGGAGGGGTGAGGAAGAGTGCGAGAGGGGAGAAGGGTGCGAGAGGGGAGAAGGGCTTGAAAGAGGGGATTTTGAAAGTAGGGAGAAGGGAGAGGGGAGCAGAGAGAGAATGTTGGTGATGGAGAGAAGGAAGAATGGAATGAAATGGAGAAAGGTGCAGAAATCCAATCCCTCCCCATCCGTGCCTCTCCCGTCAGTCACTGGCCACCCACCCCAGCGTCTCGCCGCACCTTGCTGGAGGCTGGTGGCGACGCCAAAGTCGATGAGCTTGATGCCCTTGCTGTCATCGTTGCGGTCAGCCATGAGGATGTTCTCGGGCTTCACGTCGCGGTGCAGGATGCCGTGCGCGTGGCAGTGCATCAACGCGCCCATCAGCGCCTTGAGCACCAGCGCGGCCGTGCGCTCCGACAGCTGCCCGCGTGCCTTGATGCAGTCAAACAGGTCCCCACCCGCACACAGCTCCATTATCACACGGATGCTCTGCGCGCACGCGGAGGGGAAGACGTGGGGGCGAGGTGGGGTGAGACAGGAGAGCACGGGGATGGGCGGAGTGGGGTGTTGAAGAGGCGGGGGAGCGAGAGTTGGCAGAGAGAGCACACAGCTCTGTGATGACCCGAATGCTGTGCGCACTCACGGAGTAAGAGTGGAGGGGGAGGGAGGGCGAGTGGGGCAGGAAAGAGGTGGAGGGGGGGGAGGGGAGGCAGCACGTCAGCATGTTGTCAGCAGCACTGCGGTAAGATTGCCGCCAGCCAGGCTAGCGCAGCCTGTGTTGCAGTATGATAGGCCGTGTGCCAGGTATAGCCAAGTGATGATATGGATGGTCACAGAGTGTGTTGCCACCACGCATGCTTCCACCACCCATGCTTCCACCACCCATGCTCCCACCACCCATGCTCCCACCACCCATGCTCCCACCACCCATGCTCCCACACAACACCTGCTGGTCCTGAGCCCCACCCACGCCCCACCTGCTGGTCCTCCACGCCCCACCTGGTGGTCCACACCACACCTGGTGGTCCACACCACACCTGGTGGTCCACACCACACCTGGTGGTCCTCATCACACCTAGTGGTCCTCATCACACCTGGTGGTCCTCATCACACCTGGTGGTCCTCATCACACCGCCCCACCTGGTGGTCCTCCATGCCCCACCTGGTGGTCCTCCATGACGCTCTGCAGGTTCACGATGTGCGGGTGGCCCTGCAGCCGCGCCAGGAACGCCACCTCCCTCCGCACGTCTTCCGCGTCCTCCATGCACTGGGACGAGGGCGGCCGTGGTGGCAGGGGGGAGGGAAGGAAGGAGAGGGGAGGGTGAGAGGGACGGGAGGAAGTGGAGGGAGAGGAGGGGGGCGAGGGAGGGAAGGGAAGGGGGGGGTGAGGGGCTTGTGGCTGTCGGGCATCCACCACCATCTCATCTCAGCTGTGCCCTCTTGCTAAAGCCTCTGCTCCTACCTTCCCTACTTTCACTCCCCAAACAGCAAGCAGCAGCAGCAGCGGTGGCGGCAGCGGCGGCGGCGGCAGCAGCGGCAGCAGCAGCAGCAGCAGTGGCAGCAGTGGCAGCAGTGGCAGCAGTGGCAGGAAGCCTCACAGTGATGCTCTTCTTGTCGATGGTCTTGCACGCAAACACCCGTCCAGTCGCGCGCTCCAGGCACGTGCGGATGGACCCAAAGCGCCCGGCGCCGATCTCGTGCTTGCCCAGGGAGTAGCGAGCGCGCACGTCCTCATAGGGCATGCGCAGGATGTGGTCCGTTATGGGCGCCAGCTGCCCCATCGGCTCGTCCCGCAATACCATCGCCAAACCCTGCTGCTGCTCCACCTGCTGCTGGGGGAGGTCCTTCTGGGGGAGGTTGCTTTGAAGCGGTCTGTTTTGGGATGGGTGGTGGTGCTGCTGCTGCCCCTGGGTGAGGCCTGTGCATGGCTCCAGCTGTTCCAGCTGCTCTATCATGCGCTTGGGATGCGGCGTTGGCACCTGCTCCTCCTCCTCCTCCCCACTGCCACACTCTACCGGACCGTCAGCAGTGGCAGCAGCTGCTGCCAGGCCTTGCCCACCTGCCGCACCTCTCTCCTGCCCACTGCCCAGCCTCGATCTCCTATAGCCCTCCCTGACACCCATACCACCACCAGCACCACCAGCAACAGCAACAGTACCGGCGGTAGCACCAGTGTCTTCGTCAGTGTCAGTAACAATGTCCCCGTCGCTGCTGTCCCGGCCTCCCTCCCGGCTGCTGAAGCTGCTGTTGGCATTCCCCGATGCGAGCTTGGCAGCGTCGGCCAGGAATGCAGCCATGCGTGCACTCGCACCACTGTCACCAGCAGCACCACTAGCAGCTGCACCGGCAGCAGCAGCACCAGCAGTACCAGCAGCAGGAGCCGCAGCATGGCGAGCAACGTCAGCAGCAGAAGACACAGCAGCGCCACTGATGCTGTTACCAGTGCCGCTGCCACTGCCACTGCCACTGCTGCTCTGCAGCCTCCTCCGCCTCATCTGCTGCAGCAGCTGCTGGTGCTCACTCGCCTCCTGAACTTGCTTCTGCTCCTGCTCATACCCTTCCTGCTTCCCGTATTCCTGTTCCTGACCATACCCATACCCCAATCCCCCTCCCATGGCTCGCAGGCCCACCTCACACGCACTAGCCTGCCTCCGCCCCCTTCCCCCCCTCACTGCTGCCCCTGCCCCCTCCGCTCCGCCTACCCCAATCCCTCGCCTCTCGGCCCCCTGCCCGTCCGCTCTCACGTGCCCCATCTCCTCCCTGGCCCAATTGCTGCTACTGCCGCTACCGCCCTCCCCCACCCTGTCCGTGCCACCCACCCCTCCTCTCCCTGCTGCCCCTCCGCCGCCTGCCATGCCGCCTGTAGCACCCATGCCTCCCGCTGCCCCCACCCCTCCCCGTGCGCCCATGGTGCCGGCAGCGAGGGCGTGGTGCAGGAGGTGGCGGGGCACGTCCTCGAAGCCCAGGTAGAAGTCCACGGCGGACGGGCCTGCTGCTGCCGTGTGCACCGCTGCCGCCTTGGCTCGCCGCTGCTCCCGTGATGCTCGAATCATCTCGTCCACACTCACCATCCGCCTGTGCTGCTGGTTCGTCTCGCCCTGTCCCCCCGCCCCGTCCCCGCGCCCGCCCACCCCTCCCGCTGCCCTACCGCCCCTGACAGCACCATCACCAGCAGCGCTATCCCCAGCAGCACCAGCAGCAGCAGAGCCACAAGGGAGGTCACTCTCAGCAGGGGCAGCGGCGGGCAGGCCAGCAGCGGCCATGGCATCTCTGTACCGCACTGCCTGCAGCCGCTCTGCCCTCTTCTTCCTCCGTGCCACGCCATCCATCACACTCGTGCTTTCCACCCCGCCCGCTCCTCCCACTCCCCTTTCTCTGTCCCCTGCCCCTGCCCCTTCCTCTTCCCCTGCCCCCTCCCCTTCCCCCGCCCCCGGTCCTGCCCCTGCTCTCCCTCGCCCTACCTGACCAGCAACAGCGCTGCTGCTGGAAGCGCCAAGCGGAGGCCCAGACGCGTGCCCGTGGTGGCCAGCCACCCTGCCCCTCTCCTGCGCGCTGTAGCCCCCCTGCTCCGCGAACGACCCCACCTCGCCAGGCGCAGTGCGTTCCGCGCTGGGCGCGCGCTGGCTGCTGCTTGCCCGCTCGCCCAACGAGCCCCGGTCGCTGTACGACCCGTTCCTCCGCTCCCACTCCTCCTGCTGCTGCTGCCGCCGCCGCTGCTGCTGCTGCTGCCCCTGCTGCTGCTGCTGCCCCTGCTGCTGCTGCTGCGGCTGCTGCTCCTCCACTGGTGAAGCTGCCAGCCCTGGTGCCGGTACTCTTCTTCCTCGCTCCCATACGCCCCATCCACCCCTCTCCTCGACTCCACAACCCCCTGCGCATCTCTCCCCTTCTGCCTGTACGAACTGGCCTGCCAGGCTTGCCTCTCAGGCTCGGACCCGCCACGCATCTGCTGCCGAGGCTCCCTTCCAGGCTCGGACCCACCACGCGCCTGCTGCAGAACCTGCCGGTCAGGCTCGGAGCCACCGCGCCACGGCCTGAGCGTGGCCTCGGACTCCCAGACGCCCTCCTGCTGGCAGTCCTGGACGAGGTCCCTGGCGGCCTGCAGCACGCTGTGAATGGCGTCCTGGTTGCGCTCGTACCCCTCAAACGCCGCAAAGTCCTCGTGCGTTAGGCTCGCCAGGGGAGACGTCGGCGGGGTCGTTCGAATTTCGCCACCGCCGCCACCACCGCTGCCGCCACTACCGCTACCCCCCCCTCTGACCACAGCCCCCCGCCCTCCCCCCCTACCGCCGCCCAGCCGCCTACCGCTGGAACCTCCCCCAGGGAAGCCGTCTTTAAAATGCCCCTCCCCAGGGGGACCCTGCACCAGAGGGGAATTGGTCCGCGCTCCTGCTGCTGCTGCCCGCATCCCTTGCCCAGGGGCACCCATCGCGCGCCCCTCCAATCCCCCTTGCCCCGTTTGCCTCCCCCCTGTGCCAACCCCCGACCACTCCGCGGGGGACGCGCTTGAACCCGGTAACCCCTTACCGCTTCCATCCCCACCACCACTCCCACCACCGCCTCCGCCGCCGCCTCCTACTCCTCCTCCTAACCCGCCGCCCCTGCCATGTCCGCTGCTCCCACTCGATGGATGCCGAGCCCCCGCAGCACTCAGCTGGTTACCGCCGCCAACGAAACCGGCGACGTGGGTGCCATTCGTGAGGTCGCCTGACGCCGCGAACTGATGCGAGTCGTACGAAATCGGCCTGCGACGATCCTTGCTAAGGGCGCTCATGGGACTCCCCCGACCTGGTCCCGGCGCGCGGGGAGGCACGCGAGATGCAGACGCCATCTCCCCCATGTGCCCCACGCTGTGGCTCGAAACCCTAACTCGCCGTCCGGGCATACCGCCATCCGTCTGCGGCGCATAAGCGTCACTACTCTGCTGGGAATAATTTACTTTCGATGCGTCCTGGTAATCCGCCTCTAACTGCTCTTCCGAAAGATTTCTTCGATTCTCCGCGGCGCGCGTGGCGACGTCAGGCGCGGAGGAGAGGGAAGAGGAGAAGCTCGGCAGGTTGCTGTGGCTCCGGCTGTGCCTGTCTGACGATTCCTGACGGAGCCGCATCGCGGCAGACGGCGGACGGCGAAAACTGTCGGCGGACTGCTGCCGGCCGTGACGTGGCCGGTAGAGACTCGGAAACGGCAAGCCTCCATGCTGCTCCGCCGTGGCGCGACGCGGTGGTGTCGCTGTAGCTTGTTCGGGAGGCTCGTTGTGAGACGATTGCCGCTGCTGCTGGTGCGACGGGAGGTGGTGTTGGCGTTGGCGCTGATCAGGATGCGGCTCATACTGCTGCTGCTGCTGCTGCCGCTGTTGCTGCTCATAATAGTACCGCTGCTCATCCTCTTGCAGGTTTTCCTGTTGGTGCTGCTGATGCTGCTGGTATTCGTATCTACGTGGCTCTGTCTCGTCTAGATAGTCCCTTCCATGCCGCGTCATCGCATGCTGCGGCTCCTGCACCTGCCGCTGCTCCTGTTCCTGCCGCCATTGCTCTACGGGAATCAACAAGCTTCCGGCAGACGCGCCTCGCCGGTGCTGACCTCTACGGAGCCCCGTCGGCGGACGCGTCTGTGGCTGCGTAGCGTACGGCTGCGAATCCAACGGCTGTGAGTCGAACGCTTGTTGATCGAACGGCGAGGGAGCAGAAGCGGCGTTGGACGACATCCTTCCTGACCGTTGATTTGAGGGGATGTCGTAGAAATCGCGGAACACGTCTGCGGTGCTCATGCTTCGCGATTGAAGCTCGAGATGCGTCTAGAAGGCATTGGTTGTGCAATGAAGATTAGGGCAATATATTACAATCAATGACCACTAAATGCGCGAGCTTGCATAATGATTCCAGGCATACGTGAGCAGTGTAAGGATAACGTTGCTGGCTCTTCGGCGAAAGTTAGGCGCTGAGCTGGTGGCTAGTGGCTCTGGCTGGTGGTTGGCGGAAGACCCACACCCACCCGTCCAGTTGCAACCAAGCCAAACCAACACAAGAAGCCAAGGCGGCGTTGTTGGGTGGGTGGGTCTTAGCTATTCGTTTAGGGCTGGTTTAGCGCGGTTCAGCACGTTAACTCAAGGCTAGTAACGATTCTCTATTTCCACCGATCTAGACCGTTGCCAACCAAGCTGACCCACTCCCTCAAACCCACAATTCCCCTTCGCCTCCCCCTTCACTCCCATGGACGAGTTTCCGAGGGGCTCGTTGGGACAGACGAGGAGGACGAGGTGGGTGAATGGCGAGAAGCGTGTTGCTTTGCAACGGAAGCATGTCCGCTAGCGATTGGATCGACCTGAAGGTGCGCCCTGGCCCCTGGGGGATGCACTGACAAGGCAGCCCCGAGCCGAGCCAAGGCACGTGAACGCGAAGCTATCAGCTAGTCAACAGCAACTGCGGCTGCGGACTAGAGCAGAACCAACATCACGGGAACCACAGCAATGAACCTGCTGTAGTGCCAGTCTACCCACGTGCCGAAGCGCCCCATGGGTGACTGGATAGAGCCAATTCCGCGTGCATGTGTTCCATCCTATTCCATCAGCAGGCTAACTCGTTTACCAGAAGAAACTCCTGCCCTAACCTCAGCAATTTGTACTCACGGATATGAGATTACTGTATGTTGCTTTGGAAAGGCAAACACGGCGAGGAATTAAAAAAAAAAAAACAAACAAACAAACAAACAAAAAAAAACTGACTCCCAACCTTCACCCAACCTCCCCAATGTTCTTGCGCAACTTGGTTTTCTAAGAAAATATTTATATACATTTTGTATATGTTCTCCTACATGATTGCCTCTAGGCTCTTGCAGATCTCGTTACAACTCAGTTGGTGGTGCATATTTGATATTGTTCTCGCTTCTATTTCTTGTACCTCTTTTATTCTAGTGGCCTCCCTTTGCTCTCTTCAATCTCGCTACTCACTCCTAAACATAGCTCCTGCTAGAACCTTTCTGAACTGGTATCATTGCAGGCCACATTCTAGCCTAGGGCCTCGTCAAAGCGGACGTCACGGGATTCAAGGAACCGATGGAGGGGCAGGTGGTAAAACTCGTAGTGAGAGGAGTCCACTTGTAAATCAAGGAAGACATAGGGAGGGAGCGAGCCGAAAGCTTGTCCGCAGCGGTATTGCGGACATACGTAAGGCAACCCCATGCATGGAACTCCGACGCAACACCAAAGAACCTGGTCCAAAGACTGGTCGGTGAAGCCTCTGGCCGTGAGACATGAGGCAAGGGGTTCAGCTGGTGGGCGGTGTGGCGAACCACGTAGGGCCACAGAAAATGGGGCGCACATGCGTGGATCATGGAGGTGCGGGCGATCTCCATGGCCTGGTCAATGCGGCGCTCAGCAACCCCATTCAGCTGTGAGGACTCAGGAAGCGTCAAGGACTGAGTGATGCCCTGCTCGCTACAAAATTTTATAAGCACGTCAGATTGAAACTCACCCCCACGGTCGGAGTGGAGACGCAGGACATGACTACCACGTAAGACACTAGTGGCTAGTAACCACCTGATCAGTGTAGAAGTCACGTTGGACTTCTTCCGCAGGGGAAACGTGGTGGTGTGGTGAGAGATGTGGTCAACGACCACTACGAAGAAGCTCTGCCCCCAGTCCCAGGGCGAAGGGCGGGGCCCCAGATGTCCAAGTGAGTCGTCTGGAAGGGCGCGGTGGCCGAGCAAAGGGATGAGGAGTGAAGAGTGGCACGCATCCTACCCTTGATGCAAGGAGTGCACGACGGTGCAGGAAGAGGGAGCGACGCAAACACGCGTGGGAGACTGAGACAAGACGCTGGCTAGACATGCTATGGAGGCGTGGGAGTGACGGGCGACCAAGACGGTGGTGCCACTAGTCTGCCGGGTGGGAGAGCGACCGACAGGAGCACGATGCATGAGGAGATAAACTCTACAACGGTGGGAGCTAGACTACTAGGTAGGCACGAGTTGTAGGAGTGATCGTAGCTCTGTCTGTGTTCTCTAGGACTTGTGTTTTCACAGGGCAAAACAACAAGAGTTTCACCAATGTTGCGCAGGGTCAAACGCGACCCTGCGCAGACGGACACCCGCGAACTTCTGCACCAGCTGCGCCACTCTGGTCGACGAACTGCTTCGTCGACCATCCTCGTTGAACTCCTTCGTCGAACTCCTTTGTCGACGAAGTCACAGTGGTTCCGCGCAGGTCGACGACCACCTTCGTCGACCTCTGCGGAAGGTCGGCTGCACCTCCCACACACCCGACCACAAGTCAATTTGCCCATGCGAGGGCGGGGCCAATTTCCTTCAACAATGCAGCAACCTGACGAGACGCAGCTACCTGACCAGGCGGAGCTACCTGACCAAACGAAGCTATTTGGGGAGACGCGGTGCGCAAGGTGAAAAGACCTGAGCGGGGCTCGCGGAGAAACGTGGCCAGAGTAGCCCAAGTAGCACCGTCCAAGCAGGTCGCAACACGCTCGTTCGGCAAAAAACAGGTGCCAACACCGAGGTTCTGAAGGGGTCCCACACCCACCAAGTTCTTGGAGAACAAGGGGATGTGGAGACTAGTAAGGACACCAGAGAGGGCAGACTGGCACGGGAGGATGATAGAGCTACGGGCCACAGCTGGTCCTGAAATAGGATCAGCCAGGGAAACCGGAACCGAAATAGGTAGCAGTGTGATTGTCGCGTGGTCGCGGAAGAAACACTGAGATGCGCCAGAGTCAAGCGTGAAGGAGAGCGACGCGTCAGCCGCAGGTACACCTCGGCTAGTAAGTACACAAGCACCTACACTTGCAAAAGGCAAGGATCCTTGACTCTGAACACTCGAGCAAACATGTCCAGTAGCACTGTAGTCAATATCAGCATACATCGCAGAATCAGATTGCAAAGCCTCAAGGAACTCTACTGCACACATCTCAAACAATGCCAGGCCACGGGAGTGAATAGCGGGGCCCAGTCAGGAGAGGGGCCAATGCCGTACTGAGCACGGAGACGGTATGTGAGCTGCGCAACGCTCTGACCCGGAGGGTGAAGGCGACCACAGGGCTGACCCTGATGTTGTTGCCAGTCTGAACAACGTCCGAACCGCCACCACCATCCTTCGCCACCACCGCCGCCACCATCCTTCCCCCCATTCTTACCTCCCATGCCTCAGGCCCGCCCACTAGTGACGGACATAGCTGCAGTTTTGTTAGAAGCAAAAGACGTAGTAGAGGGAAGAGAAGTAGTGAAGGTGGGGAGCTGTGGGACAGTACAGCCCTAAAAGCGTGGCGGAACTACGTCGCTGGAAGCGAAGGCAACGGAGCGGATGTTGCTCTCGATGTCCTTGAGAGCGGTCTCAAAGACGTCGACAATGAGTTCACTAGGGTACTTCCGAAGAAGCGTGTCGCGTACAGATGCAAGGCGGTCAGGGAGGCTAGTGGCGATGAAATGAATAGTGATGTGCATGGGCGGGGAGGTGACTGCAAGCTGAGCCTCGGTTCGGTACAAGCAGCATGGTAGCTAGCGTCGAGGGAGGGACAAGGTCAGCACTACGGTCAAACGAGCCTAGGTCGGGAAACAGGAACCGCATGAAGAGGTGACCAAGAGAGGCGGAGGAGGGAGTGGAGTAACGGATCTTAATCGCATCAAAACATTCCTTGGCAGAGCGAACCTGATTGAAGTGGGCCTCCTCAGTCTCGGAGAGAAGGCGAGCGCAATACGAGCCGCAGCGTCACGAGACTGCCACTCCGACAGAGCCGTACAGGCCTGAGCGTAGCGCTCCCGGTCTGCGGCGGTAGGCTCAGGAGGCAGGCCAGCGATTTGCGGAGGTGAAGATAGGTCACCAGAGGTGTGCGCCCAGAGCGTGTCACCGTCCTAGCGCTGACTTTGTAGGTACAGCTTGGCGCGGAGGAGCCGGGTGGGAAAGTTTAACGCTCTAGCTTCTGCATCGAAACGCAGGACTCGAGCGGCCGCCACAGCTAGTGTTCTACAGGTCTAGGAGCAAAAGGCTGGGGCAAGGAACAGTCAAAGTGAATGAAGAGCAGGAGGTTGCGTGATGCAACTTTGCCCCCAACCACCGAATGTGTTGCTTCCGATTGACTTCACTGCAGGTTTCGTGAAGTTGAAGGTTTGACATCGGAAGACCAATCAATTTGGTGCCACATGGCAGCACCTGGAACATTCAAGACCAAAGGAACATTCGAATGTGTGAAATTCGGTTGCCGAATTTCACCACATCGAAATGTTACCCACGGAACATTCGCGATACTTCGTGTAGCGACTAGATGTTACATGCGCGATTCGTAGAAATTGAGTATCTATAAATGCGTGCACTTTGTATGCATGTTTCATACTGAAATCCTGAATCCTCTTGTACATGATGCATTCCAGAGAGGTCTATCCTTGCTTCTAAGAGCACTAGTGATCACGTTTTAAGCCATATCGTAGCCGTTACTTGAGCGATTAACGTGTTTGACGGCTCGTTGGAAAGCTAAGACAAGGCTCTAGTTAGTGGTATAGCTCCAAGTTCCTGCCAACCAGAGGACACTACTCTTCAACACCCGTGTGCCAGTTGCTACTGTTGTCCGTGTACCAGCAGCTTCAGCCGCCGCCCACCACCTCCTCTCCTCTCATGGTCCCTCCTCCTCCTCACCTGCCCTCTGTTGCTTCCGATAAACTCTGCATGTGAACTGGCCTTGTGGCCGCTTGCTTGTGCTCGGATTGTGTGGTGACTTCGTGCTCCACCCTGAGCTTGCTTTGATTTTCTTGACTGGTCCTGTGACCGCTTGTTGTGTTTGCTATCCCCCACTTCGCCTATGGGGGTGTGTCAAAACATATTGCTGTGTAGGCTGTAGTGGGGTACTCAACAGAGAGTACAACCCTTTTAGGGTTTCCCTTTATGTACTCCCCATGCCTGCTAGTGCAATCACTTCTTTCTGCTATCATTCTCGTTCAGTAGTTTGACATTGCTGTGGCGCGTGCTGATGTGGCGCGCGCTGCATTTTCTGCTATGGATCGTGCTACTGGGGCGCGCACTGGACTGCGGGTGCGAGAGTGTGAGACAGGAATGGGACGAGCAGGGGGATGAAACGGGCAACGAGACGGAACGGGCAGCGAGACGGGACGGAACGGGTAGTTAGGGTCCTAGGTAACCTAATCTCAATGATACCATCTCGGAGTGGAAGCGGAATGAATGAACTAGGAAGGAGTTGGGATCAGGGCTAATTTTTGGTTTTGAGCAAACCTTATGATCAGTCCTGCACCTGCGCAGATTTCTGATTATTAGTGTGACCCCTTTTGAAAAAACTTTTCCATCAGGGTTCAGGCTAGTTTTGAAAAATTCACTCGGAGGCATCAGTGTAACAATTTTATAAACCCCTGCTCGGTTGTTATTTTGAAAGCACACAAAAAAAAATCTCACTCATCATCGGACAAGGCACAAGGGTGTTGCTCCTGGTCACTATCGCCTGCTGGCTCTGGCACTTTCTCTTTCCCTCTCCTTTCCAAGGGCTTCGCAGGCGCAATTGATTTCGCTGGTCTTCTGGTTTTCTGCTTGCTCCAGAGGTCCACCACATCTGGCCAGACATACAGGTACTTGAGCATGTGCAGCATCATGAGGTCGCCAAGGCGTGCATCGCACAGTGATGTGCGCATCCAGCTTCTGGATGATATTCTAGCGGCTGAATCCTCGCTCACACTCAACTGTGCTCAGTGGCAGCACAGCAAGTGCCTGCCACAGTGTTATCAGGTCCGGATAGTTGCGTCGCCAATCTGTGCTCTTCATCATGCTTTGAAGTCCCTGGTGGAAATCTTCCCCCGCGTGATGTCGTGACAAGATGTGACAGAAGCTCCTCAACTCCTTCGTCGCCTTGAAATTGAATCCTGACGTGGATGGGGTAAAACGGGGTGGATATTCGGGTGGGTGGTTTTTGGATAGTATGGAACAACCACACACAGTGGGTAAACCGAAGCAAAGGCATCTACAAAAATCTAATCTCACCAGGGAGCATGCCGCCAAACAGCTCGTCGTTTCCTGCCAACCACTCAAGGCACTTTAGCTCCCTCTGGTCCTCCCTGGATGGCCACGACTCCACTTAAAACAGCTTCGCGCCGCCCATCTGCTGCAAGTCCCACATTCGGTACTTCATCCTGGCCACGACCTCCTTCGCGAAACCCATGCACAACTTCACACAGTCCGCAAGCGAGCCCCCAAACTTGTGCTTCTTGATGGGTGCCTCGCTTAGTTCGAAACGATGTGATGTTGGCCGTCCATCCCCATCAATCCCCTCAACTACCAACGTCCAATTGTCCCCGCCATGTTCTTTAATGAATCGAGACAAAAGCTTGCTGACTCTGCCTCCAAATGTCTCGCCGTACTCGATGTACCGGTGCGTGATGATGGTGATCATGCGATCGACTTCCTTCGCGACTTGGGTTATGTCGACCTAGAAACAAGGGCACGACAAAAATGTTAGCATTGTAAAATTACAGCTATCAGCGTATTTATAAAAAAGAGAATACACTTGCCTTGCAATGCTGGAAAAAACCGGTTGAGGGAGTTCAGCTCTGCCAGAATGTCAGCTAGGAAGTACAAACAATAATAGAACTTAAAAGTTTGTACTATTGCAACAATCTTGTTACCATACTTCACAATTATGACAATCGCTTCCCTGAAAACTCAGCACAACCTCGCTATTACGTCTCCCCGCGACAGCCACCTGACATTAAATAATCCTTGATGCTCCATGTTGTTACTGCACGCACACCAGGATCGATCATGTCAAGGTCGGGGAAGGCCTTCACTGTATCCTTGACCACGAACGCCTCTCTGCCACAGATTGGTAATGAAAGAAAGAAACATAAGTATAGCGACACCACGCGCAACTACACAAGTATGACGCCAGTAGACAACAACATTAACATTGTCGATGTGCAACGCAGTGACACCCGACGACATGCGGAACACGCTCCCGTAAGCTAAATACAAGGCCGCCCTTATCGCCCGTCATCACGGAAGCCCTGTCGGTGCCGACGCCGGCCACACGATTGATGTCGGCACCGAAAGAGTCCAGGTGGCTCATGAGCACAGTAAAAAGCGAAGAAGCGTTGCACTTTTGCACCGTAAGCGGCGCTAGGAACTCTGTGACGGCGGCGCCATTCTTGACAAACGTGGCAAACACTATCAAGTGTTTGCCACACGCGCGGTCGGTGCTCTCATCACATGTCAGACCGATGAAGGGTGAAGCGAGAAGATGCTGCAGCTGCTGATTTCTCTGGTACTTTGCCATCCTTACGACCATCTCGTTGAAGCCGTACCTGTCGCATGCAACGGGTCGGTGTCAAACATTTATCGGGTAAAAAACAGAAGAAACTACCATTCTCCGCACTAAAGTATATGCAACGGAGGATTTACTTTGTAATGTAAACCCCGTAAGACTGAAGCGGGATGTCGGCGCCAAAAATCCTATGAGCTTCGGGAACATGGAGATCGGGGCGTCGTGGTCGCAGATAAACTCAACGCGCGCATGAGACGAGTGAGCCGCGCGCCCTCCTTGTCGGCGTTGGCAAAATCGTCGAGGCATTTCTGGTCCTCGATGTTCGCCATGAGAGTCCGCTGCCTCTTCATAGCTTCGTCGTGGCGGCCACTCGGCTCGTGACATCTCATTGATCCGAGCTGCAGATCGCGTCCCCCGGAACCGTTGCGACTGAACTTGGCGTCGTCCTTGCCGTGCTCCTCACAGACGCTGCATCGCAAGACAGGCAACCCCTTGTCGTTCTTATCAAGCAGCAGCCAATCCAATTTGGGAAGCCACTACATGATGTATAGCTGTTGCGCCTTCAGGAATTTCGCCTCTGCCTTTTTGGCGTGGGTTAGTTAACGGGACACTGGTGGGGCGTAGGCGGAGTCGGCTTCTCAGGCGGCGAGCCGAAAGAGAGAACGCTTTGCGTGAAGTGTCGCTTCTTCGCCGAGGCAGCAAACGAAGAGTCGCCGACTTCTGTTACGATGACAGTGGCGGGAGCACTATCGGGCGCGACGGCAGCGGCAGCAGTTGGACGAGCAGGAGGCAGCCGTTCGCCACTGCTCGTTGACGGGCCTGCAGTGCAGACAGGCGGAGGGTTTTGATGCACCCCTCGCAGGAAATCTAGGCCTGTCCGCGGGGGAGCTTTCGCTGGCTCGTCCTCAGCATCTCCTCCCTCATCGTCCTGTGTAGGTGCCATGGCTGCTGGTGTGTATGGGGAACTAGCTCAGTAGGAAATCGCAAATGAGAAAGAGGACCCTCGTTTCAAACCTGGGATTGGTTCCCTACTGGTGACCCCATTCCCCAGCGCAGTTGTTTCCTATCGTGCAAGCAAACGAAGTTCGGAGCCACCCACATTCTTTTGTAGGAAACGCGGTGCCCAGTGGGCTTGTGGGCGCCGACGTTCTGCTGCACTAAGCCAGGTTTCCAACAAACCCGGTCGTGTTGGCATGTTAGACAACAAGACCGTTTTGAGTCCTTGGCGTTGCCTCGAAAGAAACTGTAATTCTGGCCAATGGTGGCCAACTTCGTGCCAACAGATTTGTTGTCTTGGCGAAAGGGGGGAAAGGGGAAAGGGGGGAGGGTGGGGGGGGGGGGTGTTGTCTTGTCTTTGGTCTTGATAATTGGCCAACGGGAATCCCAGGTTACGGGAAAGGGGGGAGTGGGGGTACTCGCTTCAGGGTAAAACTCGCTTAGAAGAACGGTAACCCTGGGGCCACAGTGTGCGTAAACCCTGTCATCAGGGCCCAAAATTGGTTTAGGCCCACCCTGACAAATCAGGGTTCCAGGCCCTCCTTACCCTGACCCGTAGGGTAAAATTTTTTCGTACCCTGCTGGCAGCAGGGTAAAACGTTTTGCACCCTGCTGGCAGCAGGGTAATTTTTTACGTACCGTGATGCATAGGACAGGCGAAACTGTCATCGACCCCCAACTTTGATCAGCTGGCGAAATTGAACTGAAATGGTTGGAATGTTGACCGTTGATGAAGGTTGTTCTTCTGACGGATGCAAGATGTTGAAGTGAGGTTGGAATTTCGGCTGTTGATGAAGTGAGACGTCGATCTGACGGACGCGGATGAACTGGCCCAAATTGAAAGAGAAGTTGGAATGTGGGCCGTTGATTGACGGTCGAAGGCTGACGCGAAAAAGGGGGAACCTGCTGACGCGACATTCAGTCGCGAAGCGTGGTTCAGTTTGTCAGCACGCTAAGTATGTGTCTGATCCGCGCTAAAAACGTTTCGGTATCAGGGAAGTCTACACACAACCCTGATACCGCCAGGCTAACCATAATTCCTATCAGTGTTATAAACCAAACTTTTTTTTTGCGTTAGGGTAAAAATCTCGGAATCCTGATTGTGACAGGGTAATTTTGAAAAAGCGGCCGGCCCCCAGTGTAATCAGGGCATTTTACCCTGATATTTTGGGCCCATATCAGGAAAATCTAAGCCCCTGAAAAAATTACCTTAAGGCAAAAGTGTGACTACAAAAAACCACCCTGATAATCAGGGTATATCAGGGCGATTTACACTGATAAAATTAGGCCTGGTTGGGATACAAATACAAACCTTGAAATGTTGTACTCCCTAGAGTGCTACTCACTGTAGCCTAAACAATATAACATTTGACGAGGGGAAACAACACAACACATGGCATGGCATGGCATGGCATGACATGGCATGGCATGGGATGCCATCATGCCATCTAGTCCTCCATGGCGTCGTCCAAGTCCAAATTCAGATCGAGCCCACCCATACCTCCACCCATACCTCCACCCATACCTCCACCCATGCCTCCACCCATGCCTCCACCCATGCCTCCACCCATACCCAAGCCTAGACCTCCACCCACAGCTCTGGCCGAACCAGTACCCTCAGCAGCAACAGCGCCACCATAAGAACTAGGATTGGAACCTCCTACTTCCCCCCCACCTACTCCTGCAGCACCTGCGCCCCTCTCCAATGTGAAGTCCAGGTTCACACCTGCCCCCCTTCCTCCCCTCTCTCCTCCCCCACCTCTTTCTACATCTTCCCCCACTCCAGCCTTATGTAGCGCACCTGCCAACCAACCAGCAGGCGCCATGTGTCCATGCACTCGCCGCTGCTGTGCATCCACATCAGCAGCAGCGGCGGCACCACTGAGAGTGCCAGCAGCAGGCTTGGCATCAGCAGAACCAGCAGCACCAGTGCCAGCAGCTGCAGCTGCCGCGGCAGCAGCAGCCTTGGCAGCAGCAGACATGCGCTTGCGGGGCCCAGAGCTGTCGCGCTTGATGAGCTGGCGCCTGAGCATCTTCTCCAGGTACTTCACCCTCCGCACCACCACCTTCGCCTTCGGTGCCCCCTCCCCTGCCGCCCCCCCGCCCGCCCCGTCCTCGTCCTCCAGCTCACTGCCGCCTCTCCCGCCCTCGCCTGTGCCACTGGCGTCTGCCTCTGCCGCGGCCTTGCGGGGCCCCGCCTTGCCCTTGGCGGCCTTGCTGGGCGCTATGAGCGCGGCGAAGGGCAGGTCGGGGTCCTTCATGATGGCCGCCCACGCCCCGTACCCGTGCACCAATATGCCCTGGGGGGGGGGGGGACGAGGGAGAGAGGGGGGAGAGGGGGGAGGGGAGTGGGGGCACAGAGATGAAAGGTGGGGGTTGGAGGAGAGCATGAGCATGCATGATTGGCAGGCAGGAGGAGGCAAGGCGGTGGAGATACGGAGATGGGCAGCAGCCCATATGGGACCACGCATTTAAGGTAATGCATAGCAAGCTGGTAATGTGCCTGATGACGGAGCAACTCGGTGGAACAGTAATTTCATACAACTAGCCAATGTTGCAGAAGACGCTCAGGGCGTCTTGCGTCCTGCGTCCGGATGCAAGACGCAGGACGCACGCCAAGGCGCAGGAAGCCTTGGTGGAATTTCTTTCGATTTCGTCGCAAAAGTCAATTTCGCGAAATTTCAACCCCCCCCAACCCATGTATGGGGAACAAATTTTGGTGTGGGAAAAATTCGCCTCAAATGTGAGCTACGTCCATCTCCCCCCCCTCCCCATGCCCTACATAAGTTTTTTTTGGATGCCCGTACTACTTTTTTGGCCTGCCCGGGCATGCGTCTTTTTCGGCATCTCACAGGCCCCAAAAACGCGTCCTGCGTCCTGGACGCTGCGTCTGTACGCAAGCGTCCTAGGCGCTGTACGCGTCTTGTGCAACATAGCGACTAACACCCTCAGCACTCCGCCCAGCCAACTCCCCCCGTCCTCCCAACACAATTATCAACACGCACCTTGACGAGCCCCTTGTCGTGGATGCCACACACCTTGACGAGCCCCTTGTCGTGGATGCCACACACCTTGACGAGCCCCTTGTCGTGGATGCCACACACCTTGACGAGCCCCTTGTCGTGGATGCCACACACCTTGACGAGCCCCTTGCCGTGGATGCCACACACCTTGACGAGCCCCTTGTCGTGGATGCCACACACCTTGACGAGCCCCTTGTCGTGGATGCCACACACCTTGACGAGCCCCTTGTCGTGGATGCCACACACCTTGACGAGCCCCTTGCCGTGGATGCCACACACCTTGACGAGCCCCTTGCCGTGGATGCCACACACCTTGACGAGCCCCTTGCCGTGGATGCCACACACCTTGACGAGCCCCTTGCCGTGGATGCCACACACCTTGACGAGCCCCTTGCCGTGGATGCCACACACCTTGACGAGCCCCTTGCCGTGGATGCCACACACCTTGACGAGCCCCTTGCCGTGGATGCCACACACCTTGACGAGCCCCTTGCCGTGGATGCCACACACCTTGACGAGCCCCTTGCCGTGGATGCCACACACCTTGACGAGCCCCTTGCCGTGGATGCCACACACCTTGACGAGCCGCTTGTCGTGGATGCCACACACCTTGACGAGCCCCTTGTCGTGGATGCCACACACCTTGACGAGCCCCTTGTCGTGGATGCCACACACCTTGACGAGCCCCTTGTCGTGGATGCCACACACCTTGACGAGCCCCTTGTCGTGGATGCCACACACCTTGACGAGCCCCTTGTCGTGGATGCCACACACCTTGACGAGCCCCTTGTCGTGGATGCCACACACCTTGACGAGCCCCTTGTCGTGGATGCCACACACCTTGACGAGCCCCTTGTCGTGGATGCCACACACCTTGACGAGCCCCTTGTCGTGGATGCCAGCGCGCCACCAGGCGGGCAGATCGTGCGACTTGTACGTGGACAGGCCCAGCCGGAACCAGTCCCCGCCAAACACCGCCACCGCCCTGCGCAGCACCTCCACCGCCTCCAACCGCTCTAGCAGCCTCTCCTGGTGGGGTGGGGGAAATGCACCGCCACAGTGGGAGATGGAGGGGCGGAGAAGCGCAGGGGCAATGCATGCAGGTGAAAGGGCCTGAGGAATGGAGCAGAGGGAGAAAGGGAAATCGATATGAGAATAGATTAAGGGATAAAAGTGTTGGCATCAACTAACGGCTGTCTTGGCATCAACTCACGGCTGTCTTGGCATCAACTCACGGCTGTCTTGGCATCAACTCACGGCTGTCTTGGCATCAACTCACGGCTGTCTTGGCATCAACTCACGGCTGTCTTGGCATCAACTCACGGCTGTCTTGGCATCAACTCACGGCTGTCTTGGCATCAACTCACGGCTGTCTTGGCATCAACTCACGGCTGTCTTGGCATCAACTCACGGCTGTCTTGGCATCAACTCACGGCTGTCTAGGCATCAACTCACGGCTGTCTTGGCATCAACTCACGGCTGTCTTGGCATCAACTCACGGCTGTCTTGGCATCAACTCACGGCTGTCTTGGCATTGAGCACGGAGTCTTCAGGAGTCAACAGCATGTTCTCCCCTTCCCCCTCTGCAGCCCCTCCCTCCCCCACTCCTGGTTGCCCCCTGCGCTGCCGCCTGGCCTCTGATGCCTCCCTCTCCGCACACAGCAGACACTGCGAGAGCCCAAGGGGCGAGACAGAGGGCAGCGCAGGGCAGGGCAAAGAGGAAGCAGGGGGTTTGGGGCAGAGGTGGTGGCATGTGTGTAGGAGGAGCGTTGAGGGACTGCTGAAATGCCACATGGTATGGCACGTGGCACATGGTATGGCGCATGGCAGATGTGACGGACGGCGCAGCACATTACCGGGCAGGAGGCAGGGTGGCCTTCTCCCAGTGCAAACGTCCTCTTGCCCGACACGCCCCCACCACCCCCTTCCTCGCCTTCCCCTCCTTCCTCTCCGTCCTCTCCTCCTGCTGCTGCTGCAGCTGCTGCCAAGCTAGCGGTAGAAGCAGCACCAGCAGCAGCGCCAGCGGCGGTGGCAGGGGTGGCGGGCGAGGAGGCAGGCAGGCCCTGCAGGCGGCGCTGCATCTCAGCGATGACGTCATCAAAGCACGCCGCCACCGATACTGCTGACCTGGCGAGCACAGACGGCACGTGCGAGTGGTCCCGCAGCTGCTGCCAGCTCACACTGCCGCCACCGCTGCTGCCGCTCTGCTGCTGCTCCTGCGCGCATGAAGGGAGGAACGGGATGGGATGGTGAGGTTGAAGCACATGACAAGCCCACTCGCTTTCAACATGGTGCTCCAAGTAAGAGCATGCTTGCCCCTTGTCATGCATCACAGCACCTTGTCATGCATCACAGCACCTTGTCATGCATCACAGCACCTTGTCATGCATCACAGCACCTTGTCATGCATCACAGCACCTTGTCATGCATCACAGCACATCTTTATTCACAAATTTTCACACCTTGTAAGAGCCACTCACAGCGGGCAGCCCCCACAGCATGAGCCACTCACAGCGGGCAGGCCCCACAGTATGAGCCACTCACAGCGGGCAGCCCCCACAGCATGGGCCACTCACAGCGGGCAGGCCCCACAGCATGAGCCACTCACAACGGGCAGGCCCCACAGCATGAGCCACTCACAGCGGGCAGCCCCCACAGCATGAGCCACTCACAGCGGGCAGGCCCCACAGTATGAGCCACTCACAGCGGGCAGCCCCCACAGCATGAGCCACTCACAGCGGGCAGGCCCCACAGTATGAGCCACTCACAGCGGGCAGCCCCCACAGCATGGGCCACTCACAGCGGGCAGGCCCCACAGCATGAGCCACTCACAGCGGGCAGGCCCCACAGCATGAGCCACTCACAGCGGGCAGCCCCCACAGCATGAGCCACTCACAGCGGGCAGGCCCCACAGTATGAGCCACTCACAGCGGGCAGCCCCCACAGCATGGGCCACTCACAGCGGGCAGGCCCCACAGCATGAGCCACTCACAGCGGGCAGCCCCCACAGCATGAGCCACTCACAGCGGGCAGGCCCCACAGCATGAGCCACTCACAGCGGGCAGCCCCCACAGCATGAGCCACTCACAGCGGGCAGCCCCCACAGCATGAGCCACTCACAGCGGGCAGCCCCCACAGCATGAGCCACTCACAGCGGGCAGCCCCCACAGCATGAGCCACTCACAGCGGGCAGCCCCCACAGCATGAGCCACTCACAGCGGGCAGCCCCCACAGCATGAGCCACTCACAGCGGGCAGGCCCCACAGCATGAGCCACTCACAGCGGGCAGCCCCCACAGCATGAGCCACTCACAGCGGGCAGCCCCCACAGCATGAGCCACTCACAGCGGGCAGCCCCCACAGCATGAGCCACTCACAGCGGGCAGGCCCCACAGCATGAGCCACTCACAGCGGGCAGCCCCCACAGCATGAGCCACTCACAGCGGGCAGCCCCCACAGCATGGGCCACTCACAGCGGGCAGCCCCCACAGCATGAGCCACTCACAGCGGGCAGCCCCCACAGCATGAGCCACTCACAGCGGGCAGCCCCCACAGCATGAGCCACTCACAGCGGGCAGCCCCCACAGCATGAGCCACTCACAGCGGGCAGCCCCCACAGCATGAGCCACTCACAGCGGGCAGCCCCCACAGCATGAGCCACTCACAGCGGGCAGCCCCCACAGCATGAGCCACTCACAGCGGGCAGCCCCCACAGCATGAGCCACTCACAGCGGGCAGCCCCCACAGCATGAGCCACTCACAGCGGGCAGCCCCCACAGCATGAGCCACTCACAGCGGGCAGCCCCCACAGCATGAGCCACTCACAGCGGGCAGCCCCCACAGCATGAGCCACTCACAGCGGGCAGGCCCCACAGCATGAGCCACTCACAGCGGGCAGCCCCCACAGCATGGGCCACTCACAGCGGGCAGCCCCCACAGCATGAGCCACTCACAGCGGGCAGGCCCCACAGCATGGGCCACTCACAGCGGGCAGCCCCCACAGCATGAGCCACTCACAGCGGGCAGGCCCCACAGCATGAGCCACTCACAGCGGGCAGCCCCACAGCATGGGCCACTCACAGCGGGCAGGCCCCACAGCATGAGCCACTCACAGCGGGCAGCCCCCACAGCATGAGCCACTCACAGCGGGCAGCCCCCACAGCATGAGCCACTCACAGCGGGCAGCCCCCACAGCATGAGCCACTCACAGCGGGCAGCCCCCACAGCATGAGCCACTCACAGCGGGCAGGCCCCACAGCATGAGCCACTCACAGCGGGCAGCCCCCACAGCATGAGCCACTCACAGCGGGCAGCCCCCACAGCATGAGCCACTCACAGCGGGCAGGCCCCACAGCATGAGCCACTCACAGCGGGCAGCCCCCACAGCATGAGCCACTCACAGCGGGCAGCCCCCACAGCATGAGCCACTCACAGCGGGCAGCCCCCACAGCATGGGCCACTCACAGCGGGCAGGCCCCACAGCATGGGCCACTCATAGCGGGCAGGCCCCACAGCATGAGCCACTCACAGCGGGCAGCCCCCACAGCATGGGCCACTCACAGCGGGCAGCCCCCACAGCATGAGCCACTCATAGCGGGCAACCCCCACAGCATGAGCCACTCACAGCGGGCAGCCCCCACAGCATGGGCCACTCACAGCGGGCAGCCCCCACAGCATGAGCCACTCACAGCGGGCAGCCCCCACAGCATGAGCCACTCACAGCGGGCAGGCCCCACAGCATGAGCCACTCACAGCGGGCAGCCCCCACAGCATGAGCCACTCACAGCGGGCAGCCCCCACAGCATGGGCCACTCACAGCGGGCAGCCCCCACAGCATGAGCCACTCACAGCGGGCAACCCCCACAGCATGAGCCACTCACAGCGGGCAACCCCCACAGCATGAGCCACTCACAGCGGGCAACCCCCACAGCATGGGCCACTCACAGCGGGCAGCCCCCACAGCATGAGCCACTCACAGCGGGCAGGCCCCACAGCATGAGCCACTCACAGCGGGCAGCCCCCACAGCATGAGCCACTCACAGCGGGCAGCCCCCACAGCATGGGCCACTCACAGCGGGCAGCCCCCACAGCATGAGCCACTCACAGCGGGCAACCCCCACAGCATGAGCCACTCACAGCGGGCAACCCCCACAGCATGAGCCACTCACAGCGGGCAGCCCCCACAGCATGAGCCACTCACAGCGGGCAGCCCCCACAGCATGAGCCACTCACAGCGGGCAGCCCCCACAGCATGAGCCACTCACAGCGGGCAGGCCCCACAGCATGAGCCACTCACAGCGGGCAGCCCCCACAGCATGAGCCACTCACAGCGGGCAGCCCCCACAGCATGAGCCACTCACAGCGGGCAGCCCCCACAGCATGAGCCACTCACAGCGGGCAGCCCCCACAGCATGAGCCACTCACAGCGGGCAGCCCCCACAGCATGGGCCACTCACAGCGGGCAGGCCCCACAGCATGGGCCACTCACAGCGGGCAGGCCCCACAGCATGAGCCACTCACAGCGGGCAGCCCCCACAGCATGGGCCACTCACAGCGGGCAGCCCCCACAGCATGAGCCACTCATAGCGGGCAACCCCCACAGCATGGGCCACTCACAGCGGGCAGCCCCCACAGCATGGGCCACTCACAGCGGGCAACCCCCACAGCATGAGCCACTCACAGCGGGCAGCCCCCACAGCATGAGCCACTCACAGCGGGCAGCCCCCACAGCATGAGCCACTCACAGCGGGCAGCCCCCACAGCATGAGCCACTCACAGCGGGCAGCCCCCACAGCATGGGCCACTCACAGCGGGCAGGCCCCACAGCATGAGCCACTCACAGCGGGCAGCCCCCACAGCATGGGCCACTCACAGCGGGCAGCCCCCACAGCATGAGCCACTCACAGCGGGCAACCCCCACAGCATGAGCCACTCACAGCGGGCAGCCCCCACAGCATGGGCCACACACAGCGGGCAGCCCCCACAGCATGAGCCACTCACAGCGGGCAGCCCCCACGGCATGAGCCACTCACAGCGGGCAGCCCCCACAGCATGAGCCACTCACAGCGGGCAGCCCCCACAGCATGAGCCACTCACAGCGGGCAGCCGGGCTGGAAGAGCCAATCACAGCGGGCAGGCCCCACAGCATGAGCCACTCACAGCGGGCAGCCCCCACAGCATGAGCCACTCACAGCGGGCAGCCCCCACAGCATGGGCCACTCACAGCGGGCAGCCCCCACAGCATGAGCCACTCACAGCGGGCAACCCCCACAGCATGAGCCACTCACAGCGGGCAACCCCCACAGCATGAGCCACTCACAGCGGGCAGCCCCCACAGCATGAGCCACTCTCAGCGGGCAGCCCCCACAGCATGAGCCACTCACAGCGGGCAGCCCCCACAGCATGAGCCACTCACAGCGGGCAGTCCCCACAGCATGAGCCACTCACAGCGGGCAGCCCCCACAGCATGAGCCACTCACAGCGGGCAGCCCCCACAGCATGAGCCACTCACAGCGGGCAGCCCCCACAGCATGGGCCACTCACAGCGGGCAGGCCCCACAGCATGGGCCACTCATAGCGGGCAGGCCCCACAGCATGAGCCACTCACAGCGGGCAGCCCCCACAGCATGGGCCACTCACAGCGGGCAGGCCCCACAGCATGAGCCACTCATAGCGGGCAACCCCCACAGCATGAGCCACTCACAGCGGGCAGCCCCCACAGCATGGGCCACTCACAGCGGGCAGCCCCCACAGCATGAGCCACTCACAGCGGGCAGCCCCCACAGCATGAGCCACTCACAGCGGGCAGCCCCCACAGCATGAGCCACTCACAGCGGGCAGCCCCCACAGCATGAGCCACTCACAGCGGGCAGCCCCCACAGCATGGGCCACTCACAGCGGGCAGGCCCCACAGCATGAGCCACTCACAGCGGGCAGCCCCCACAGCATGGGCCACTCACAGCGGGCAGCCCCCACAGCATGAGCCACTCACAGCGGGCAACCCCCACAGCATGAGCCACTCACAGCGGGCAGCCCCCACAGCATGGGCCACTCACAGCGGGCAGCCCCCACAGCATGAGCCACTCACAGCGGGCAGCCCCCACAGCATGAGCCACTCACAGCGGGCAGCCCCCACAGCATGAGCCACTCACAGCGGGCAGCCCTAGGGTTGAGCACGGGCCGGGCCGGGCCTGGCCCGGGTCGGGCTAGGCCGGGCCAGGCAAAAATCCGGGCCGGGCCAGGCCCGGCCCGACCCGGGCCGAATGATCAAGACCCTGGCCCGAGCCCGCCCATTTTGTACTCGGGCCAGGGTGGCCCGACCCGGGCCAAGCAAGGCCCGACCCGGGCCGGGCCCGGGTCGGCCCGGGTGCACTTTCGATAGAGTCACACATGATTTTCGAAAACGGAATGCCTGAAATCATAACCTAATCTAAGCTAAAACGCACTATTTCGCCACCCTTTCATAGAACCGTTACTTTAAAACGGTTAACTATCACTAACTACTGAGAGATAGAGTATAAGTTAGAAAAACGGGCTAGTTGAGATCTAAATACATGGCGAGAAGCTAGGGGTAAGCTTGCGTTAGAGCTTGCGCAAACTGTCGCGCAGCTCAAATTTGACCCCCGCGACATTTGCTGGGGTGCAGTCAAATCCCCGCGTGATTGAGATTTGACGAAATTGACTCAAATCTCAAATTATGCCAACAAAACACAACAGAAACCGGATTTCACCGCACTGAATCTAGAATTTCCAACCAATTCATCAATTTCCAACCCAGGTCGACTAGATCTGGCCGCATTTGTTGGCCTGGGATCTAGTCGACAGCATATCATCTCTTAGGGTTTACTCGACCAGCACATTATTAGCTTATAAGTAGAGTTCACTAAGCGACTTGTCGCAAGGGGAATAGGCGGGCCAGAACAGCCCGACCCGGGCCGCGATTCAACCCGGGCTGGCCCGGCCCGGCCCAAAAATGTCGGGCCGATGTCGGGCTACCTACGGCCCGGCGGGCCGGGCCGGCCCGGTCCGCCACGGGCGGAACCCCAAAATCTGAGGCCCGGCCCGTGGCAATTCCGGGCCGGCCCGACGCGGGCCGGGCCCAGCCCGAAATTATGCTCATGCCTACTGCGGCAGCCCCCACAGCATGAGCCACTCACAGCGGGCAGCCCCCACAGCATGAGCCACTCACAGCGGGCAGCCCCCACAGCATGAGCCACTCACAGCGGGCAGCCCCCACAGCATGAGCCACTCACAGCGGGCAGGCCCCACAGCATGAGCCACTCACAGCGGGCAGCCCCCACAGCATGAGCCACTCACAGCGGGCAGCCCCCACAGCATGAGCCACTCACAGCGGGCAGCCCCCACAGCATGAGCCACTCACAGCGGGCAGCCCCCACAGCATGAGCCACTCACAGCGGGCAGCCCCCACAGCATGAGCCACTCACAGCGGGCAGCCCCCACAGCATGACCCACTCACAGCGGGCAGCCCCCACAGCATGAGCCACTCACAGCGGGCAGCCCCAACAGCATGAGCCACTCACAGCGGGCAGGCCCCACAGCATGAGCCACTCACAGCGGGCAGCCCCCACAGCATGAGCCACTCACAGCGGGCAGCCCCCACAGCATGAGCCACTCACAGCGGGCAGCCCCCACAGCATGAGCCACTCACAGCGGGCAGGCCCCACAGCATGGGCCACTCACAGCGGGCAGCCCCCACAGCATGAGCCACTCACAGCGGGCAGCCCCCACAGCATGAGCCACTCACAGCGGGCAGCCCCCACAGCATGAGCCACTCACAGCGGGCAGCCCCCACAGCATGAGCCACTCACAGCGGGCAGCCCCCACAGCATGGGCCACTAACAGCGGGCAGGCCCCACAGCATGAGCCACTCACAGCAGGCGGCCCCCACAGCATGGGCCACTCACAGCGGGCAGCCCCCACAGCATGAGCCACTCACAGCGGGCAACCCCCACAGCATGAGCCACTCACAGCGGGCAGCCCCCACAGCATGGGCCACTCACAGCGGGCAGCCCCCACAGCATGAGCCACTCACAGCGGGCAGCCCCGACAGCATGAGCCACACACAGCGGGCAGCCCCCACAGCATGGGCCACTCACAGCGGGCAGCCCCCACAGCATGAGCCACTCACAGCGGGCAACCCCCACAGCATGAGCCACTCACAGCGGGCAGCCCCCACAGCATGAGCCACTCACAGCGGGCAGCCCCCACAGCATGAGCCACTCACAGCGGGCAGCCCCCACAGCATGAGCCACTCACAGCGGGCAGCCCCCACAGCATGAGCCACTCACAGCGGGCAGGCCCCACAGCATGAGCCACTCACAGCGGGCAGCCCCCACAGCATGAGCCACTCACAGCGGGCAGCCCCACAGCATGGGCCACTCACAGCGGGCAGGCCCCACAGCATGAGCCACTCACAGCGGGCAGCCCCCACAGCATGGGCCACTCACAGCGGGCAGCCCCCACAGCATGAGCCACTCACAGCGGGCAACCCCCACAGCATGAGCCACTCACAGCGGGCAGCCCCCACAGCATGAGCCACTCACAGCGGGCAGCCCCCACAGCATGAGCCACTCACAGCGGGCAGCCCCCACAGCATGAGCCACTCACAGCGGGCAGCCCCCACAGCATGAGCCACTCACAGCGGGCAGCCCCCACAGCATGAGCCACTCACAGCGGGCAGCCCCCACAGCATGAGCCACTCACAGCGGGCAGCCCCCACAGCATGAGCCACTCACAGCGGGCAGCCCCCACAGCATGAGCCACTCACAGCGGGCAGCCCCCACAGCATGAGCCACTCACAGCGGGCAGCCCCCACAGCATGAGCCACTCACAGCGGGCAGCCCCCACAGCATGAGCCACTCACAGCGGGCAGCCCCCACAGCATGAGCCACTCACAGCGGGCAGCCCCCACAGCATGAGCCACTCACAGCGGGCAGCCCCCACAGCATGAGCCACTCACAGCGGGCAGCCCCCACAGCATGAGCCACTCACAGCGGGCAGCCCCCACAGCATGAGCCACTCACAGCGGGCAGCCCCCACAGCATGAGCCACTCACAGCGGGCAGCCCCCACAGCATGGGCCACTCACAGCGGGCAGGCCCCACAGCATGAGCCACTCACAGCGGGCAGCCCCCACAGCATGGGCCACTCACAGCGGGCAGCCCCCACAGCATGAGCCACTCACAGCGGGCAACCCCCACAGCATGAGCCACTCACAGCGGGCAGCCCCCACAGCATGGGCCACTCACAGCGGGCAGCCCCCACAGCATGAGCCACTCACAGCGGGCAGCCCCCACAGCATGGGCCACTCACAGCGGGCAGGCCCCACAGCATGAGCCACTCACAGCGGGCAGCCCCCACAGCATGGGCCACTCACAGCGGGCAGCCCCCACAGCATGAGCCACTCACAGCGGGCAACCCCCACAGCATGAGCCACTCACAGCGGGCAGCCCCCACAGCATGAGCCACTCACAGCGGGCAGCCCCCACAGCATGGGCCACTCACAGCGGGCAGCCCCCACAGCATGGGCCACTCACAGCGGGCAGGCCCCACAGCATGAGCCACTCACAGCGGGCAGCCCCCACAGCATGGGCCACTCACAGCGGGCAGCCCCCACAGCATGAGCCACTCACAGCGGGCAACCCCCACAGCATGAGCCACTCACAGCGGGCAGCCCCCACAGCATGGGCCACTCACAGCGGGCAGCCCCAACAGCATGAGCCACTCACAGCGGGCAGCCCCCACAGCATGAGCCACTCACAGCGGGCAGCCCCCACAGCATGAGCCACTCACAGCGGGCAGCCCCCACAGCATGAGCCACTCACAGCGGGCAGCCCCCACAGCATGAGCCACTCACAGCGGGCAGCCCCCACAGCATGAGCCACTCACAGCGGGCAGCCCCCACAGCATGAGCCACTCACAGCGGGCAGCCCCCACAGCATGAGCCACTCACAGCGGGCAGCCCCCACAGCATGAGCAGGCGCAGCAGCTCGAGCTTCTCCTTGCGACTCCACGCCGACCCCACCCCCCCCTGCGCTGCCTCATCCCCTTCCCCTAGCCCCTCGACTGCATGCCCTTGCCCATTATGCCCATGTCCATGCCCCCTCGCTGGCCCATGTGCCCGTGCGCGGCCACCCTGCTCGCCCCCTGCGTCCTCCCCAGTTTCCCCCGCCTGCCCCTCCCACTCCATCTCATTCCCTTCTCTCCCCCCCGCACCGCCACCCATCTCAACCGCTCCAGCACCTCTTCCGCCCCCCCTTGCGCCCCCACGCCCCCGCCCTCCTCTCCCCCTCCCCCTTCCCCCCACCCCACTCCCATCAGCAGCAGCGCCTGCTCCTCCGCCTGCTGGCCCGCCTCTCCCTCCTCCCCGTCCCCTGCCCCGCCCCCTTCCCTGCCCCCTCGCCCCTCCCCCTCTCTCTGCACCGCCTCGCCCGCCCTCCCCTCGCCCCCCACTCCACCCTACAGGAACATCCTCATTCCACTCCTCCTCCCCCGTGCCCTCATCGCCCTCTTCTCCTTTCCCCCTCCCCCCATCCTCCTCCTCCCCATATTCCTCACCATGATCCCCTCCCCCTCCCCACTGCTCCTCCTCATCCCCCCCGTATTCCTCATACCCTCCTCCTGCTTCGCCCCCTCTTCCTCTCCCTCCTCCTCTTCCCCTCCCCATTTCGTGCCCATCACCCCCCCGCCCTCCTCTCCCCCCTCTTCCCACTCCCCTTCCGCTGCCTACCCTGCCTCTCCCCCAAGCGCCCCCTCTTCCCCCAACTGCCCCACCCCTCCCCCCATTACCACCACCAGGGGAGGCAGCACCAGGGGCAGCAGCGGCGGCAGCAGCAGCAGCGGCAGCAGCGGCACCGGGGGCAGCCCAGGCGTCGGCAGCAGGGGGGAGGGCGCGCTTGAAGTGGGCGGGGGTGAAGGCGGGGGGCGGATCTGCAAGGGCGGGCGGTGCCTGAGGCTTTTTGGCCAGCTGGGGTGGGGGGAGGGGAGAGTTGAGGGGAATAAAGGAGGCGGAAAAGAGTAAAGGCGGGCGCCAAGAGTGGGGCAGGGAGGTGCGTGATGTGATGGGTGAACGAGTGTGGCGTGACTGCGCGACAGCGTGGATCAGCTGTGCATCAGCGTGGATCAGCTGTGCATCAGCGTGGATCAGCTGTGCATCAGCGTGGATCAGCTGTGCATCAGCGTGGATCAGCTGTGCATCAGCGTGGATCAGCTGTGCATCAGCGTGGATCAGCTGTGCATCAGCGTGGATCAGCTGTGCATCAGCGTGGATCAGCTGTGCATCAGCGTGGATCAGCTGTGCATCAGCGTGGATCAGCTGTGCATCAGCGTGGTTCAGCTGTGCATCAGCGTGGATCAGCTGTGCATCAGCGTGGATCAGCTGTGCATCAGCGTGGATCAGCTGTGCATCAGCGTGGATCAGCTGTGCATCAGCGTGGATCAGCTGTGCATCAGCGTGGATCAGCTGTGCATCAGCGTGGATCAGCTGTGCATCAGCGTGGATCAGCTGTGCATCAGCGTGGATCAGCTGTGCATCAGCGTGGATCAGCTGTGCATCAGCGTGGATCAGCTGTGCATCAGCGTGGATCAGCTGTGCATCAGCGTGGATCAGCTGTGCATCAGCGTGGATCAGCTGTGCATCAGCGTGGATCAGCTGTGCATCAGCGTGGATCAGCTGTGCATCAGTGTGGCTTGCATTCATTCCCACAGCTTCTGCTGTCCCGCTCCAAGCACCCGTTACGTGAGAGGGCACGTGCATGATGCATGTTGCAGCCGCCAATGGCTTCACCTGTCGAAGCTGCAAATAGCTTCCAAGGCGTGTACGCAAGTGAACGCAATGTTGCGGTTGCCATCACAGTAGCCTAGCGTCAGCCGGCAATGCAGAGAGACGGCGAGCAAGTGAGCGGGGAGCGGGGAACAGAGAGCAGAGAGCAGGGAGCAGAGGGGCCAACGCACGGATCGCTTGATGCGCACGAGGTGCTCGATGAGGCGCTTCAGCCGCCGCGTCAACGTGTATGCGTCCAACCACCCGTCCTCCTCGCCCCGTCCTCCCTCCTGTTCCTCCTTCTCCCCATGTTCCCCTTTCCCACTCCGCTCCCCCCTGTCCCCCCGAGGCTTGCGCATGTACTTCCCCAGGTCGGCATCGCCGTACACTGCCTCGTACGCGCCGTACCCGTGTGCCGCCACGCCCAGCAGCAGCGCCAGGTCAGCGTCGCGCGTCCACCAATGGGCGGGCAGCGTGGCGTCAGTGAGCGCTGCCATGTGGTGGCATGCCATGGCAAAGCCGGTGCTGCGCGCCATGAAGGCCAACACCTCGTGCTGCGTGGGTTGGGTAGTGGGTGGAGAGGGCACACCGTGCACGCACAAGGGACAGGGATGGCTCGTCCGTGGGTTGTCAGCCTTTTCAACAGCCGCTGCTGCGCGCCCTGCAGCCTACCACCTCGTGATGCGGTCCCGTCCCGCCACCGTGGGGAAGGGCACAGGGGGGAAGAAGAGGAAGAGAGGAAGGGAGGGCGGGAGTTTGATAGCTAGTTGTTAAGACGAGAAGACTGATGCTGACGCGGGAGGGAGGAGTGCGGAATGAGGAGGAAGAAGAGAGGAGGTGGGAGAAAAGAGGTGGGAGAGACACGAAAATAATGAAATGAAGTCTCCTGCCCTGTATACATGCCACCCCTCCCACATGCCACCCCTCCCACATACCACGCCCCCCACATACCACTGCCCCTCACATACAACCCGCCCCACACACCACCCGCCCCACACAGCACCCGCCCCACAGAGCAGCGCCCCCTCCGCCTTTACGCACGAGCTGCTCCAGCAGGCGCAGGCGGCGCAGCCACGTGCGCGCACAGCTGGCCACCGGCAGCCGCTCCCACCACCCCACCCGCCGCGCTATCCCATCCCTCCCCCCTGCCCCTCCCTCTCCTTCTCCTTCCCCTTCCCCATCCCCACCATCACCCCCCTCAGCGCCCCCGCTGTCCCCCTGCACGCCCAGGGGCACGGCAGCGAGGGAGGCGAGGTCGGAGAGGCGGCGCTGCGCCCACGCGAGGTCGCGCGGGTCGAGGGCGGCGGGGGGCTGCAGCAGCGAGCAGGCGCGCAGGAAGTGACACGTGGCGTCCACCACATCGCCTGCTCCGTGGCGCTCGCTCCTCATGCTCTCCCTCATGCTGCTCTGCACCTGCCCGCGTGGCATGCACACGGGGGGGAGGGGGAGAGGGGATGGGAGAGAGGGGAGGGGAGGGGGGAGACGGAGGGGGGAGGGAAGGGTGCAAAGGTGGGGGAATATAGGTGCGGAGGGACGGAGGGACGGAGGGACGGAGGGACGGAGGGACGGAGGGAGGGACGGAGGGACGGAGGGACGGAGGGAGGGAGGGAGGGAGGGACGGAGGGACGGAGGGACGGAGGGACGGAGGGACGGAGGGACGGAGGGAGGGAGGGAGGGACGGAGGGACGGAGGGACGGAGGGAGGGAGGGACGGAGGGAGGGAGGGAGGGAGGGACGGAGGGACGGAGGGACGGAGGGACGGAGGGACGGAGGGGGACGGAGGGAGGGAGGGGGGACGGAGGGGGAGGGACGGAGGGAGGGAGGGACGGAGGGAGGGAGGGAGGGAGGGAGGGAGGGAGGGAGGGAGGGGGAGGGAGGGAGGGAGGGGGGAGGGAGGGAGGGAGGGAGGGAGGGAGGGAGGGAGGGAGGGAGGGAGGGAGGGAGGGAGGGAGGGAGGGAGGGAGGGGGGAGGGAGGGAGGGACGGAGGGACGGAGGGAGGGAGGGAGGGACGGAGGGAGGGAGGGGGAGGGAGGGACGGAGGGACGGAGGGACGGAGGGACGGAGGGACGGAGGGACGGAGGAGGGAGGGAGGGACGGAGGGACGGAGGGAGGGAGGGAGGGAGGGAGGGAGGGAGGGAGGGAGGGAGGGAGGGAGGGAGGGAGGGAGGAGGGAGGGAGGGACGGAGGGACGGAGGGACGGAGGGACGGAGGGACGGGGAGGGAGGGAGGGAGGGAGGGAGGGAGGGAGGGAGGGAGGGAGGGAGGGAGGAGGGAGAGAGGCGGGAGGGAGGGAGGGACGGAGGGACGGAGGGAAGGAGGGAAGGAGGGAGGGAGGGAAGGAGGGAAGGAGGGACGGAGGGACGGAGGGAGGGAGGGCGTGAGGGCGGGAGGGAGGGAGGGACGGAGGGAGGGAGGGAGGGAGGGACGGAGGGAGGGAGGGAGGGAGGGAGGGAAGGAGGGAGGGAGGGAAGGAGGGAAGGAGGGACGGAGGGACGGAGGGAGGGAGGGAAGGAGGGAGGGAGGGAAGGAGGGACGGAGGGAGGGAGGGACGGAGGGAGGGAGGGAGGGAGGGAGGGAGGGAGGGAGGGAGGGAGGGAGGGGGGAGGGAGGGAGGGCGGCGGCGGGAGGGGGGAGGGAGGGAGGGAGGGAGGGCGGGGAGGGAGGGGGAGGGAGGGAGGAGGGAGGGAGGGAGGGAGGGAGGGAGGGAGGGAGGGAGGGAGGGAGGGAGGGAGGGAGGGAGGGAGGGAGGGAGGGAAGGAGGGAGGGAGGGAAGGAGGGAAGGAGGGACGGAGGGACGGAGGGAGGGAGGGAAGGAGGGAGGGAGGGAAGGAGGGACGGAGGGACGGAGGGAGGGAGGGAGGGCGGGAGGGAGGGAGGGCGGGAGGGAGGAGGGAGGGAGGGGGAGGGAGGGCGGGAGGGAGGGAGGGAGGGAGGGAGGGAGGGAGGGAGGGAGGGAGGGAGGGAGGGGGGAGGGAGGGAGGGAGGGAGGGCGGGAGGGAGGGAGGGACGGAGGGACGGAGGGGGAGGAGGGACGGAGGGACGGAGGGAGGGAGGGAGGGAGGGAGGGAGGGAGGGAGGGAGGGAGGGAGGGAGGGAGGGAGGGAGAGAGGGCGGGAGGGAGGGAGGGACGGAGGGACGGAGGGAAGGAGGGAAGGAGGGAGGGAGGGAAGGAGGGAAGGAGGGACGGAGGGACGGAGGGAGGGCGTGAGGGCGGGAGGGAGGGAGGGAGGGAGGGCGGGAGGGAGGGAGGGAGGGAGGGAGGGAGAGGGAGGGAAGGAGGGAAGGAGGGCGGGAGGGAGGGAGGGAGGGACGGAGGGACGGAGGGAGGGGGAGGAGGGAGGGAGGGAGGGAGGGAGGGAGGGAGGGAGGGAGGGAGGGAGGGAGGGAGGGAGGGAGGGAGGGAGGGAGGGAGGGAGGGAGGGAGGGAGGGAGGGAGGGAGGGAGGGAGGGTGTTAGAACTTAAGATTGTGTTTTTTACTAATGAGCCAAGAGGCTCTATAATACAAGCATGCAAGAAGGGAAGAGTGGAAGAGATCTAACCCTATTGGCCACTAAGTTGGCCAATGGGTGAGTTGCCTTGGTGAGCAAGCAACCTCACAATGTAGCTAGGTTGGGATTGGTTGGTGTAAGGACCAAAAGGTTGGCAAGTGCCAACCAAGGACCATGACCAGACCCAATCTTGACCAACCACAAAGTGTGGTTGGAGTGTACACCCAACCCCCCAATAACATTAATGACTACACCTATTCTAGCCTATGAATGTTGTATAAGATATACATTTACAACAGGAGGGAGGAGAGGAGGGACGGAGGGAGGGACGGACGGACGGACGGACGGACGGACGGACGGAGGAGGGAGGGAGGAGGGAGGGAGGGAGGAGGGAGGGAGGGAGGGAGGGAGGGAGGGAAGGGGAGGGAAGGGAGGGAAGGGGAGAGAAGGAGAGGAGGAGTGCAATGGGGTATGACATGGTGGTGGTGCACAATCGTGGGGAGGGAGGAAGGAGGGCGGAGGGTGACAGGGCGGAGGGTGTTGGAATGAGTGAGGTGGAAGGGCGTGCTGGTGCAGTGAGCCCAACCACAACAACCACACACCGCACCCATTCAACCCATGCGCGCCTGCTGCACCTCCAAGCTCTTCCCCAATGCTCTCACCCTGCCCAACCCCCACTCCCTTGTTCACCTCATCCCCTCCCCTTTCCTCACCATGGAGGGTCGGGTCAGCCCGAACGCGAGCAGGGCCTTCCTGAGAGCCTCACGCTCATTCGCCCGCCACACCAGCAGCCGCCGAACCATCTGCTTCGGCCGAAGCACCACGGGAGCTCCGCCCTGCTGCCCCTGCGCGGCCCCCACCTGCCGCACTTGGCCCAGCGGGCTCTTCACCCCCCCATGGTGCTGCTGCCTCTGCCTCCCCAGCGGAGCATCCTCCCCCCACTCCAACCCGCCCGCCTCGTGTTTCAACCTTGAACCCGCCGCCACCGCCCCGCCTCCTGCTGACTCTCCACCAGCAGCAGCCCAAGGTTCACCATCCCAGCCTGCTGGCTTCATTCCCTCCCCCCTCGCCCTCTCCCTCGCCCTCCTCTGCCCCGCCCTCCCCGTCCCCCTGTACTGCCCAACCCCACATCTGCCTCCGCCTCCCCCTTCACTCCCCTCCCAGCAGCAGCAGCAGCAGTGGGCGCCCCAGCAGCAGCTTGCATGGCGGGGGGGAGCAGCGGGAGGAGCGAGTCGAAGTGGAGGTGAGGGAGAACAGGCGGGCTCACGGGGTCTGTGGGGCAGGGCGAGGATGTGGGCATGAGGATGTGGGCATGAGGATGTGGGCATGAGGATGTGGGCAGGAGGATGTGGGCATGAGGATGTGGGCATGACGATGTGGGCATGAGGATGTGGGCATGAGGATGTGGGCATGAGGATGTGGGCATGAGGATGTGGGCAGGAGGATGTGGGCATGAGGATGTGGGCAGGAGGATGTGGGCATGAGGATGTGGGCATGAGGATGTGGGCATGAGGATGTGGGCATGAGGATGTGGGCATGAGGATGTGGGCATGAGGATGTGGGCATGAGGATGTGGGCAGGAGGATGTGGGCATGAGGATGTGGGCATGAGGATGTGGGCATGAGGATGTGGGCATGAGGATGTGGGCATGAGGATGTGGGCAGGAGGATGTGGGCATGAGGATGTGGGCATGAGGATGTGGGCATGAGGATGTGGGCATGAGGATGTGGGCATGAGGATGTGGGCAGGAGGATGTGGGCATGAGGATGTGGGCATGAGGATGTGGGCAGGAGGATGTGGGCATGAGGATGTGGGCAGGAGGATGTGGGCATGAGGATGTGGGCATGAGCATGTGGGCATGAGGATGTGGGCATGAGCATGTGGGCATGAGCATGTGGGCATGGGGATGTGGGCATGAGCATGTGGGCATGAGCATGTGGGCATGGGGATGTGGGTACATACCGAGGAGATCCAAAGGCGGCACGATGGGGAAGAGCTTGACGGGCGGCAGGGGCTTGCCCGCATCCACTATGTCCTGCCATGGCGGGGGGCGGGGCGGAGGGCAGTGCGCAGGGTGCAGGGGAAGAGGGAAGAAAGGACATCCAAAATGGTCCAGTGGATACAAGGGGTCGGCCAGTGGAAAGGTGTCACATAGGTGCTGTGGACGGAAGGGGAAGCAGGGAGTCGTTCTAGAGGGCGCTTGGAAACAGGGAAGGGGCCACGGCAAAACAACGGGGCGAACGGCAGCAGTGCCATGGCTGAAAGCAGCAGTGCCATGGCTGAAAGCAGCAGTGCCATGGCTGAAAGCAGCAGTGCCATGGCTGAAAGCAGCAGTGCCATGGCTGAAAGCAGCAGTGCCATGGCTGAAAGCAGCAGTGCCATGGCTGAAAGCAGCAGTGCCATGGCTGAAAGCAGCAGTGCCATGGCTGAAAGCAGCAGTGCCATGGCTGAAAGCAGCAGTGCCATGGCTGAAAGCAGCAGTGCCATGGCTGAAAGCAGCAGTGCCATGGCTGAAAGCAGCAGTGCCATGGCTGAAAGCAGCAGTGCCATGGCTGAAAGCAGCAGTGCCATGGCTGAAAGCAGCAGTGCCATGGCTGAAAGCAGCAGTGCCATGGCTGAAAGCAGCAGTGCCATGGCTGAAAGCAGCAGTGCCATGGCTGAAAGCAGCAGTGCCATGGCTGAAAGCAGCAGTGCCATGGCTGAAAGCAGCAGTGCCATGGCTGAAAGCAGCAGTGCCATGGCTGAAAGCAGCAGTGCCATGGCTGAAAGCAGCAGTGCCATGGCTGAAAGCAGCAGTGCCATGGCTGAAAGCAGCAGTGCCATGGCTGAAAGCAGCAGTGCCATGGCTGAAAGCAGCAGTGCCATGGCTGAAAGCAGCAGTGCCATGGCTGAAAGCAGCAGTGCCATGGCTGAAAGCAGCAGTGCCATGGCTGAAAGCAGCAGTGCCATGGCTGAAAGCAGCAGTGCCATGGCTGAAAGCAGCAGTGCCATGGCTGAAAGCAGCAGTGCCATGGCTGAAAGCAGCAGTGCCATGGCTGAAAGCAGCAGTGCCATGGCTGAAAGCAGCAGTGCCATGGCTGAAAGCAGCAGTGCCATGGCTGAAAGCAGCAGTGCCATGGCTGAAAGCAGCAGTGCCATGGCTGAAAGCAGCAGTGCCATGGCTGAAAGCAGCAGTGCCATGGCTGAAAGCAGCAGTGCCATGGCTGAAAGCAGCAGTGCCATGGCTGAAAGCAGCAGTGCCATGGCTGAAAGCAGCAGTGCCATGGCTGAAAGCAGCAGTGCCATGGCTGAAAGCAGCAGTGCCATGGCTGAAAGCAGCAGTGCCATGGCTGAAAGCAGCAGTGCCATGGCTGAAAGCAGCAGTGCCATGGCTGAAAGCAGCAGTGCCATGGCTGAAAGCAGCAGTGCCATGGCTGAAAGCAGCAGTGCCATGGCTGAAAGCAGCAGTGCCATGGCTGAAAGCAGCAGTGCCATGGCTGAAAGCAGCAGTGCCATGGCTGAAAGCAGCAGTGCCATGGCTGAAAGCAGCAGTGCCATGGCTGAAAGCAGCAGTGCCATGGCTGAAAGCAGCAGTGCCATGGCTGAAAGCAGCAGTGCCATGGCTGAAAGCAGCAGTGCCATGGCTGAAAGCAGCAGTGCCATGGCTGAAAGCAGCAGTGCCATGGCTGAAAGCAGCAGTGCCATGGCTGAAAGCAGCAGTGCCATGGCTGAAAGCAGCAGTGCCATGGCTGAAAGCAGCAGTGCCATGGCTGAAAGCAGCAGTGCCATGGCTGAAAGCAGCAGTGCCATGGCTGAAAGCAGCAGTGCCATGGCTGAAAGCAGCAGTGCCATGGCTGAAAGCAGCAGTGCCATGGCTGAAAGCAGCAGTGCCATGGCTGAAAGCAGCAGTGCCATGGCTGAAAGCAGCAGTGCCATGGCTGAAAGCAGCAGTGCCATGGCTGAAAGCAGCAGTGCCATGGCTGAAAGCAGCAGTGCCATGGCTGAAAGCAGCAGTGCCATGGCTGAAAGCAGCAGTGCCATGGCTGAAAGCAGCAGTGCCATGGCTGAAAGCAGCAGTGCCATGGCTGAAAGCAGCAGTGCCATGGCTGAAAGCAGCAGTGCCATGGCTGAAAGCAGCAGTGCCATGGCTGAAAGCAGCAGTGCTCCCAACAATACATGCGCCCTGGAACCATCCAACCCATCCCCACCCCTGCTCCTCGCCTAACACTCTCTCCCTCCCCCCCCCTCACCTGCTGCCAGAGGCCCTCCCCCCCCCCTCACCTGGTGCCAGAGGCGCTGGCGCACGATGAGGTCGCGGCACAGCTGCACACACTCGTCCATGCACTGCGCCTCCAGCCGTCGGATCTTCTCCTCGCGATCAACGGTCGAGATCCTGTCCAAGCTCGTCTGGTCCCACACCCTTGGAGCAGGCAGGGCGGCAGCAATGGCAGCTGCTTCATCAGCTAACGACGCCTCTCCAGCAGCGGCGGAGCTCACGGCTGCAGCGAAGCGAGCAGCCAGACTGGAAGCCGTGTGTGATGCCCCCTTGCCCTGCTCCTCCCCCTCCTGCTGCTCCTCTTCCTGCCGCTGCACCTGCAGGCTGTGCCTGTGGCCGGTGCCTGTCTGTGCTGCTGGGTGTGCAGCAGAGGGGGTGGGGGGCGGGAGCAGCAGGGGGAAGGGCGAGTGTGCGTCCTCAGTCAGACGCAGCCGCCCTGGTACCTCCTCTCTCTCCGCCGCTGCTGACTCATTATACCGTCCGCCAAACGTCTCCCCATACGCCTCCTCCCCTCTGCGCCCATACCCCTCGCCCTCCCCTCTGCGCCCATACCCCTCGCCCTCCCCTCTGCGCCCATACCCCTCGCCCTCCCCCCACTCACTGCTCACCCCTAATTCCTCCTCACTCGCCTCTTTCCCTGCAACGCTCCCTCCCCTCCCCCGCCCTCCTCCCCTTCCCCTTCCCCTGCCCCTCCCCCTCCCCCTGCCCCGCCCAGGGGACAGAAGAACACTGCTCTCCCCCAGAGCATCACCCCCTCCCGCTCCCCCCAACTCTCCTGCTTCTCCTCCCCTTCCTCCCCCTTCCGCTTCCCCCTCTTCCACTGCTCTTCCCCCAAGCCTGCCCCTCCCCCTGCCCCTGCCCCGCCCCCGTCCTCTCCCCAGCGCCTTCCCCGGGCTGCCAGAGTGCCTGATAGGCGCGCTTTCACTCGCTATGGAGTCATCTCCGTGCACTCCATCTCCGTTATAAGCATCCTCGTGCTCTTGAAGCCCCTGCTGCTGGCGCACGGATGGGTGGGGCGGGGGCGGCAGTGGCCCACTGGACTTGCGCTTCAGGGGAGCAACAGCCGCGCCCCGCCTCACCCCCCAAGCTATCCCCGCCTCCCCTTCCCCCCATCCCCCCTCTTCCCCCTCCTCTTCCTCTCCCCCGCCCCCTCCCGCGCCCAGCGCCACCCCCTGGAGCAGCCACTCCCCCCGCTGCGCCTCTGCCCGCCAGCGCCCCCCCGTCGCCCCCATCCGCGCTGTGCTGCGCGCCCGCCCTGCGCTGGTTGAGCGGAACATCCTCCTCCGACTCTTCTCCGCCTTCCCCCTCCGCCTCTTCGCCCCCCTCCTCCTCGCCCTCCTCCATATACTCTGGCTCCTGCTGCTGCCGCCGCTGCTGCTGCTGGTTGAAACGGGCTATAGCGTATCTCCTGCTGCTCCTCCTCCCAATTATCCGCCAAGCCTCCCCCACATTAACGCCTCGCCCGCCCACCCTGCCCTCCCCTCTCCGTTCCCCCCCGCCCACCAACCCGCTTAAACCCCTATACTCGTCCATTCCCCCAACCCTAATTTTCTCAGGATGGCCGGCAGGATGGCCGGCAGGATGGCCGGCAGCATGGCCGGCAGGATGGCCGGCAGGATGGCCGGCAGCATGGCCGGCAGGATGGCCGGCAGGATGGCCGGCCCTGGCATGGGCAGAGGGGGCGCGTTGGCCGGTGTGGCCGGTGTGGCCTGTGCTGCCGGAGCCAGCGGGCGGACGGGAGAACGGCGATCCCCCCTGAAGCGAATTCGGCGGAATAGCGGGAAGCATTCCGCGGAACCTACCTTGCCCGCGCGCGCCGTCCATGCTCCCCCTTCCACCAGCCCCCCTTCCGCCAAAGCCTCTGCCGCCTGCGGATAATCCCGGGGTAGGGATCCGCGCGGCGGAAGGCGCGGGGGCTGTGGCGGGACCGCGGAAAGAGCCCCCCAGCGGAACGTCATCGTCCCATTCGTCGTCGTCGTCGCGCCCCGCCATCCCGCGGCCACACCACCTGTCAACCTGCGCGCGAGGGCGCCCCTCGCCACGTAAGCCTGGGCTATGACGCGACGTCTAGTAGGCGCTACGTTCCTCGGACGTGTCGGAATGCGGTGGGCGCAGCACGAGGCGGCGATAGTGGCGCCGATCGGGTGGCCCTCGCCTTCGCCCTTGTCTCGCTTCTCAGAACTCTCAACGGCAAATACTCGCGCGCGCTGCTTTCTGAACCGTGCGCCGCGTGCTTTCAACTCGAGCGTACGAGACGCAACGCGAATCGAGGTGCAAGTTGGGAAGTCGCGCGCAAGCTGGTGCTTGGAGTTGCTGCTGCAATGCGAAAGCATGAGAGTGCTTTCAAACTTGGTTCATCAGCGGTGTGCACAAGCCTCGGTAAAGATGGGTGCTACAGTATTTGATCATGGGGACCTTCCATATAATATTAACCAGCCAGCAATGTTGAAAGAAAGTTGATGAAGCCTTTCTTGCACATGTGCTCTGGTGATCTTTGCGTCAGAAACTGCACTACAAATACCATAATACAACAAAAGCCATAGTAATACATATCCAGACGCTACCCTTCATACATGAGAGCGCGCAGGAGCGAGACGAGGAACAGCCAGAAGCCTGCCACAGCCGACTGCCCAAACTCCATGGACGCAGCTGCGGACGCGGCAAGGCGCAGGCAGCGTGGGGAGAGGCGGGCGCAGTCGACGAGCGCGAGCAGGTTCCACGTGGTGGGCCGCGGGTCGGCCTCGGCAAACGCACACACCGCCTCAAACACCCCGTCGTGCGTCGGCCGTGCCTCGGGCGGCAGGCGCGTGACAAGCGCGCGGAAATCCTCGGGGCTGAGCGGTGGGTTGCGCTTGGTGCCGTGCGTTGCGAGGTAGGCGTCGAGAGATCCGCGGTGGCCACCAGGTGGGAGTCTTGGCGGGGGGTGGCGGAGACATGTGTGAGGAGGGAGAGTAAGGTGGGGAGGTCGAGGAAGTGCACGTGGTGGGTCTCGAGGAGGGGCGTGTTGTTGCTGAGCACAAGCAGGATGGGGCGGTCGAAGGGCGGCGAGATGAAGAGCTTGAGCACGCGCAGCATCCACAGAATGTTGTCATATGGCGGCTGTGCACGGCTCCTCACACTGCTGCAGCTGCTAAGCGCTTGGGTGGATGGAGAATTGGCTGCTTGGGCTGCGCTGCTGCTGCTGCTGCTGCTGGCCATTGATCCTTGCCCGCCCTTGTTCCTCCTCTTCTCTCGTCCTCGTCCTGCTGCCTCCGCCACTCCATCTTACTGAGCAGAGTGATGCCCAGCAGGAAGCTCCCCAGCGTGGCCATGGCCTTGATCCCCGGGTGCTCGTCCTTGACCCGGGGTTGGAGTCAGAGCAGGGCGCGGGGCACACGGAGGCCCAGAGGGAGTGCCGCAGGTCCCACAGCTGCTGCACCACGCGCCGGCTGATGTCGGGGGGCAGCTTGCTCATGCCCTCTAACAGACGGTTCACCGTCGCCCAGTCGTCATTGCCCCACCGCCCGTATCCCACCAGCTTCGACTCCAGCTTCGTATGGCGCCTGTGGTGGGGGGGAAAAATGAGGGGCGGGGGCGGGAGTGGGCAAGGGTGGGGGGATGGTACAGCAGCCCCACTATGGTGCCTGGCAGGTGGTGAGAGCGGGGGTGTGGGTAGTGGAACTTAGGGGTTTAGCATCGGGTGTGCAGGTGGAGAAGAGGGGCAATGTGCCGGTGGAGAAGAGGGGACTATGTGCAGGTGGAGAAGAGGGGCACTATGTGCCGGTGGAGAAGAGGGGCACTATGTGCCGGTGGAGAAGAGGGGCACTATGTGCAGGTGGAGAAGAGGGGCACTATGTGCCGGTGGAGAAGAGGGGCACTATGTGCCGGTGGAGAAGAGGGGCACTATGTGCCGGTGGAGAAGAGGGGCACTATGTGCCGGTGGAGAAGAGGGGCACTATGTGCAGGTGGAGAAGAGGGGCACTATGTGCAGGTGGAGAAGAGGGGCATTATGTGCCGGTGGAGAAGAGGGGCACTATGTGCCGGTGGAGAAGAGGGGCACTATGTGCAGGTGGAGAAGAGGGGCACTATGTGCCGGTGGAGAAGAGGGGCACTATGTGAGGTGGAGAAGAGGGGCACTATGTGCCGGTGGAGAAGAGGGGCACTATGTGCCGGTGGAGAAGAGGGGCACTATGTGCCGGTGGAGAAGAGGGGCACTATGTGCCGGTGGAGAAGAGGGGCACTATGTGCAGGTGGAGAAGAGGGGCACTATGTGCAGGTGGAGAAGAGGGGCACTATGTGCCGGTGGAGAAGAGGGGCACTATGTGCCGGTGGAGAAGAGGGGCACTATGTGCCGGTGGAGAAGAGGGGCACTATGTGCCGGTGGAGAAGAGGGGCACTATGTGCAGGTGGAGAAGAGGGGCATTATGTGCAGGTGGAGAAGAGGGGCATTATGTGCAGGTGGAGAAGAGGGGCATTATGTGCAGGTGGAGAAGAGGGGCATTATGTGCCGGTGGAGAAGAGGGGCATTATGTGCCGGTGGAGAAGAGGGGCATTATGTGCCGGTGGAGAAGAGGGGCATTATGTGCCGGTGGAGAAGAGGGGCATTATGTGCCGGTGGAGAAGAGGGGCATTATGTGCCGGTGGAGAAGAGGGGCATTATGTGCCGGTGGAGAAGAGGGGCATTATGTGCCGGTGGAGAAGAGGGGCATTATGTGCCGGTGGAGAAGAGGGGCATTATGTGCCGGTGGAGAAGAGGGGCATTATGTGCAGGTGGAGAAGAGGGGCATTATGTGCAGGTGGAGAAGAGGGGCATTATGTGCAGGTGGAGAAGAGGGGCAGGAGAAGAGGGGCATTATGTGCAGGTGGAGAAGAGGGGCATTATGTGCAGGTGGAGAAGAGGGGCATTATGTGCAGGTGGAGAAGAGGGGCATTATGTGCAGGTGGAGAAGAGGGGCATTATGTGCAGGTGGAGAAGAGGGGCATTATGTGCAGGTGGAGAAGAGGGGCATTATGTGCAGGTGGAGAAGAGAGGGCATTATGTGCCGGTGGAGAAGAGGGGCATTATGTGCCGGTGGAGAAGAGGGGCATTATGTGCAGGTGGAGAAGAGGGGCATTATGTGCCGGTGGAGAAGAGGGGCATTATGTGCAGGTGGAGAAGAGGGGCATTATGTGCCGGTGGAGAAGAGGGGCATTATGTGCCGGTGGAGAAGAGGGGCATTATGTGCCGGTGGAGAAGAGGGGCATTATGTGCAGGTGGAGAAGAGGGGCATTATGTGCAGGTGGAGAAGAGGGGCATTATGTGCAGGTGGAGAAGAGGGGCATTATGTGCCGGTGGAGAAGAGGGGCATTATGTGCAGGTGGAGAAGAGGGGCATTATGTGCAGGTGGAGAAGAGGGGCATTATGTGCAGGTGGAGAAGAGGGGCACTATGTGCAGGTGGAGAAGAGGGGCATTATGTGCAGGTGGAGAAGAGGGGCACTATGTGCCGGTGGAGGAGAGGGGCATTATGTGCAGGTGGAGAGAGGGGCACTATGTGCCGGTGGAGAAGAGGGGCATTATGTGCAGGTGGAGAAGAGGGCATTATGTGCCGGTGGAGGAGAGGGGCATTATGTGCCGGTGGAGGAGAGGGGCATTATGTGCCGGTGGAGAAGAGGGGCATTATGTGCCGGTGGAGAAGAGGGGCATTATGTGCCGGTGGAGAAGAGGGGCATTATGTGCCGGTGGAGAAGAGGGGCATTATGTGCCGGTGGAGGAGAGGGGCATTATGTGCCGGTGGAGAAGAGGGGCATTATGTGCCGGTGGAGGAGAGGGGCATTATGTGCCGGTGGAGGAGAGGGGCATTATGTGCCGGTGGAGGAGAGGGGCATTATGTGCCGGTGGAGAAGAGGGGCATTATGTGCCGGTGGAGAAGAGGGGCATTATGTGCCGGTGGAGAAGAGGGGCATTATGTGCAGGTGGAGAAGAGGGGCATTATGTGCCGGTGGAGAAGAGGGGCATTATGTGCAGGTGGAGAAGAGGCGCATTATGTGCAGGTGGAGAAGAGGGGCATTATGTGCAGGTGGAGAAGAGGGGCATTATGTGCAGGTGGAGAAGAGGGGCATTATGTGCAGGTGGAGAAGAGGGGCATTATGTGCAGGTGGAGAAGAGGGGCATTATGTGCCGGTGGAGAAGAGGGGCATTATGTGCCGGTGGAGAAGAGGGGCATTATGTGCCGGTGGAGAAGAGGGGCATTATGTGCCGGTGGAAAAGAGGGGCATTATGTGCCGGTGGAGAAGAGGGGCATTATGTGCCGGTGGAGAAGAGGGGCATTATGTGCCGGTGGAGAAGAGGGGCATTATGTGCCGGTGGAGAAGAGGGCATTATGTGCCGGTGGAGAAGAGGGGCATTATGTGCCGGTGGAGAAGAGGGGCATTATGTGCCGGTGGAGAAGAGGGGCATTATGTGCCGGTGGAGAAGAGGGGCATTTTGTGCCGGTGGAGAAGAGGGGCATTATGTGCCGGTGGAGAAGAGGGGCATTATGTGCAGGTGGAGAAGAGGGGCATTATGTGCAGGTGGAGAAGAGGGGCATTATGTGCAGGTGGAGAAGAGGGGCATTATGTGCAGGTGGAGAAGAGGGGCATTATGTGCCGGTGGAGAAGAGGGGCATTATGTGCCGGTGGAGAAGAGGGGCACTATGTGCAGGTGGAGAAGAGGGGCATTATGTGCAGGTGGAGAAGAGGGGCACTATGTGCCGGTGGAGAAGAGGGGCACTATGTGCCGGTGGAGAAGAGGGGCACTATGTGCCGGTGGAGAAGAGGGGCACTATGTGCAGGTGGAGTAGAGGGGCACTATGTGCAGGTGGAAAAGAGGGGCACTATGTGCAGGTGGAGAAGAGGGGCACTATGTGCAGGTGGAGAAGAGGGGCACTATGTGCAGGTGGAGAAGAGGGGCACTATGTGCAGGTGGAGAAGAGGGGCACTATGTGCCGGTGGAGAAGAGGGGCACTATGTGCCGGTGGAGAAGAGGGGCACTATGTGCCGGTGGAGAAGAGGGGCATTATGTGCCGGTGGAGAAGAGGGGCATTATGTGTAGGTGGAGAAGAGGGGCATTATGTGCCGGTGGAGAAGAGGGGCATTATGTGCCGGTGGAGAAGAGGGGCATTATGTGCCGGTGGAGAAGAGGGGCATTATGTGCCGGTGGAGAAAGAGGGGCATTATGTGCCGGTGGAGAAGAGGGGCACTATGTGCAGGTGGAGAAGAGGGGCACTATGTGCAGGTGGAGAAGAGGGGCACTATGTGCAGGTGGAGAAGAGGGGCACTATGTGCCGGTGGAGAAGAGGGGCACTATGTGCCGGTGGAGAAGAGGGGCATTATGTGCCGGTGGAGAAGAGGGGCATTATGTGCCGGTGGAGAAGAGGGGCATTATGTGCAGGTGGAGAAGAGGGGCATTATGTGCAGGTGGAGAAGAGGGGCATTATGTGCAGGTGGAGAAGAGGGGCATTATGTGCAGGTGGAGAAGAGGCATTATGTGCAGGTGGAGAAGAGGGGCATTATGTGCAGGTGGAGAAGAGGGCATTATGTGCAGGTGGAGAAGAGGGGCATTATGTGCAGGTGGAGAAGAGGGGCATTATGTGCAGGTGGAGAAGAGGGGCATTATGTGCCGGTGGAGAAGAGGGGCATTATGTGCCGGTGGAGAAGAGGGGCATTATGTGCAGGTGGAGAAGGGGCATTATGTGCAGGTGGAGAAGAGGGGCATTATGTGCCGGTGGAGAAGAGGGGCATTATGTGCCGGTGGAGAAGAGGGGCATTATGTGCCGGTGGAGAAGAGGGGCATTATGTGCCGGTGGAGAAGAGGGGCATTATGTGCAGGTGGAGAAGAGGGGCATTATGTGCAGGTGGAGAAGAGGGGCATTATGTGCAGGTGGAGAAGAGGGGCATTATGTGCAGGTGGAGAAGAGGGGCATTATGTGCAGGTGGAGAAGAGGGGCATTATGTGCAGGTGGAGAAGAGGGGCATTATGTGCAGGTGGAGAAGAGGGGCATTATGTGCCGGTGGAGAAGAGGGGCATTATGTGCAGGTGGAGAAGAGGGGCATTATGTGCAGGTGGAGAAGAGGGGCACTATGTGCAGGTGGAGAAGAGGGGCACTATGTGCCGGTGGAGAAGAGGGGCACTATGTGCCGGTGGAGAAGAGGGCACTATGTGCCGGTGGAGAAGAGGGGCACTATGTGCAGGTGGAGAAGAGGGGCACTATGTGCAGGTGGAGAAGAGGGGCACTATGTGCAGGTGGAGAAGAGGGGCACTATGTGCAGGTGGAGAAGAGGGGCACTATGTGCAGGTGGAGAAGAGGGGCACTATGTGCCGGTGGAGAAGAGGGGCACTATGTGCCGGTGGAGAAGAGGGGCATTATGTGCCGGTGGAGAAGAGGGGCATTATGTGCCGGTGGAGAAGAGGGGCATTATGTGCAGGTGGAGAAGAGGGGCATTATGTGCAGGTGGAGAAGAGGGGCATTATGTGCAGGTGGAGAAGAGGGGCATTATGTGCAGGTGGAGAAGAGGGGCATTATGTGCAGGTGGAGAAGAGGGGCATTATGTGCAGGTGGAGAAGAGGGGCATTATGTGCCGGTGGAGAAGAGGGGCATTATGTGCCGGTGGAGAAGAGGGGCATTATGTGCCGGTGGAGAAGAGGGGCATTATGTGCCGGTGGAGAAGAGGGGCATTATGTGCCGGTGGAGAAGAGGGGCATTATGTGCCGGTGGAGAAGAGGGGCATTATGTGCAGGTGGAGAAGAGGGGCATTATGTGCCGGTGGAGAAGAGGGGCATTATGTGCCGGTGGAGAAGAGGGGCATTATGTGCCGGTGGAGAAGAGGGGCATTATGTGCAGGTGGAGAAGAGGGGCATTATGTGCAGGTGGAGAAGAGGGGCATTATGTGCAGGTGGAGAAGAGGGGCATTATGTGCCGGTGGAGAAGAGGGGCATTATGTGCCGGTGGAGAAGAGGGGCATTATGTGCAGGTGGAGAAGAGGGGCATTATGTGCCGGTGGAGAAGAGGGGCATTATGTGTAGGTGGAGAAGAGGGGCATTATGTGCAGGTGGAGAAGAGGGGCATTATGTGCAGGTGGAGAAGAGGGGCATTATGTGCAGGTGGAGAAGAGGGGCATTATGTGCCGGTGGAGAAGAGGGGCATTATGTGCAGGTGGAGAAGAGGGGCATTATGTGCAGGTGGAGAAGAGGGGCATTATGTGCAGGTGGAGAAGAGGGGCATTATGTGCCGGTGGAGAAGAGGGGCATTATGTGCAGGTGGAGAAGAGGGGCATTATGTGCCGGTGGAGAAGAGGGGCATTATGTGCAGGTGGAGAAGAGGGGCATTATGTGCAGGTGGAGAAGAGGGGCATTATGTGCAGGTGGAGAAGAGGGGCATTATGTGCAGGTGGAGAAGAGGGGCATTATGTGCAGGTGGAGAAGAGGGGCATTATGTGCAGGTGGAGAAGAGGGGCATTATGTGCCGGTGGAGAAGAGGGGCATTATGTGCCGGTGGAGAAGAGGGGCATTATGTGCCGGTGGAGAAGAGGGGCATTATGTGCAGGTGGAGAAGAGGGGCATTATGTGCAGGTGGAGAAGAGGGGCATTATGTGCAGGTGGAGAAGAGGGGCATTATGTGCAGGTGGAGAAGAGGGGCATTATGTGCAGGTGGAGAAGAGGGGCATTATGTGCAGGTGGAGAAGAGGGGCATTATGTGCAGGTGGAGAAGAGGGGCATTATGTGCAGGTGGAGAAGAGGGGCATTATGTGCAGGTGGAGAAGAGGGGCATTATGTGCCGGTGGAGAAGAGGGGCATTATGTGCAGGTGGAGAAGAGGGGCATTATGTGCAGGTGGAGAAGAGGGGCATTATGTGCAGGTGGAGAAGAGGGGCATTATGTGCCGGTGGAGAAGAGGGGCATTATGTGCAGGTGGAGAAGAGGGGCATTATGTGCCGGTGGTGAAGAGGGGCATTATGTGCCGGTGGAGAAGAGGGGCATTATGTGCCGGTGGAGAAGAGGGGCATTATGTGCAGGTGGAGAAGAGGGGCATTATGTGCAGGTGGAGAAGAGGGGCATTATGTGCAGGTGGAGAAGAGGGGCATTATGTGCCGGTGGAGAAGAGGGGCATTATGTGCCGGTGGAGAAGAGGGGCATTATGTGCAGGTGGAGAAGAGGGGCATTATGTGCCGGTGGAGAAGAGGGGCATTAGAAGAGGGGCATTATGTGCAGGTGGAGAAGAGGGGCATTATGTGCAGGTGGAGAAGAGGGGCATTATGTGCCGGTGGAGAAGAGGGGCATTATGTGCCGGTGGAGAAGAGGGGCATTATGTGCCGGTGGAGAAGAGGGGCATTATGTGCAGGTGGAGAAGAGGGGCATTATGTGCCGGTGGAGAAGAGGGGCTGGAGAAGAGGGGCATCATGTGCAGGTGGAGAAGAGGGGCATTATGTGCACATGGAGAAGAGGGGCATTATGTGCAGGTGGAGAAGAGGGGCATTATGTGCAGGTGGAGAAGAGGGGCATTATGTGCAGGTGGAGAAGAGGGGCATTATGTGCAGGTGGAGAAGAGGGGCATTATGTGCAGGTGGAGAAGAGGGGCATTATGTGCCGGTGGAGAAGAGGGGCATTATGTGCCGGTGGAGAAGAGGGGCATTATGTGCAGGTGGAGAAGAGGGGCATTATGTGCCGGTGGAGAAGAGGGGCATTAGAAGAGGGGCATTATGTGCAGGTGGAGAAGAGGGGCATTATGTGCAGGTGGAGAAGAGGGGCATTATGTGCCGGTGGAGAAGAGGGGCATTATGTGCCGGTGGAGAAGAGGGGCATTATGTGCCGGTGGAGAAGAGGGGCATTATGTGCAGGTGGAGAAGAGGGGCATTATGTGCCGGTGGAGAAGAGGGGCTGGAGAAGAGGGGCATCATGTGCAGGTGGAGAAGAGGGGCATTATGTGCAGGTGGAGAAGAGGGGCATTATGTGCAGGTGGAGAAGAGGGGCATTATGTGCAGGTGGAGAAGAGGGGCATTATGTGCAGGTGGAGAAGAGGGGCATTATGTGCAGGTGGAGAAGAGGGGCATTATGTGCAGGTGGAGAAGAGGGGCATTATGTGCCGGTGGAGAAGAGGGGCATTATGTGCAGGTGGAGAAGAGGGGCATTATGTGCCGGTGGAGAAGAGGGGCATTATGTGCAGGTGGAGAAGAGGGGCATTATGTGCAGGTGGAGAAGAGGGGCATTATGTGCAGGTGGAGAAGAGGGGCATTATGTGCCGGTGGAGAAGAGGGGCATTATGTGCAGGTGGAGAAGAGGGGCATTATGTGCAGGTGGAGAAGAGGGGCATTATGTGCAGGTGGAGAAGAGGGGCATTATGTGCAGGTGGAGAAGAGGGGCATTATGTGCAGGTGGAGAAGAGGGGCATTATGTGCAGGTGGAGAAGAGGGGCATTATGTGCAGGTGGAGAAGAGGGGCATTATGTGCAGGTGGAGAAGAGGGGCATTATGTGCCGGTGGAGAAGAGGGGCATTATGTGCAGGTGGAGAAGAGGGGCATTATGTGCAGGTGGAGAAGAGGGGCATTATGTGCAGGTGGAGAAGAGGGGCATTATGTGCCGGTGGAGAAGAGGGGCATTATGTGCAGGTGGAGAAGAGGGGCATTATGTGCCGGTGGTGAAGAGGGGCATTATGTGCAGGTGGAGAAGAGGGGCATTATGTGCCGGTGGAGAAGAGGGGCATTATGTGCAGGTGGAGAAGAGGGGCATTATGTGCCGGTGGAGAAGAGGGGCATTATGTGCAGGTGGAGAAGAGGGGCATTATGTGCCGGTGGAGAAGAGGGGCATTATGTGCAGGTGGAGAAGAGGGGCATTATGTGCAGGTGGAGAAGAGGGGCATTATGTGCAGGTGGAGAAGAGGGGCATTATGTGCAGGTGGAGAAGAGGGGCATTATGTGCAGGTGGAGAAGAGGGGCATTATGTGCAGGTGGAGAAGAGGGGCATTATGTGCCGGTGGAGAAGAGGGGCATTATGTGCCGGTGGAGAAGAGGGGCATTATGTGCCGGTGGAGAAGAGGGGCATTATGTGCAGGTGGAGAAGAGGGGCATTATGTGCAGGTGGAGAAGAGGGGCATTATGTGCAGGTGGAGAAGAGGGGCATTATGTGCAGGTGGAGAAGAGGGGCATTATGTGCAGGTGGAGAAGAGGGGCATTATGTGCAGGTGGAGAAGAGGGGCATTATGTGCAGGTGGAGAAGAGGGGCATTATGTGCCGGTGGAGAAGAGGGGCATTATGTGCAGGTGGAGAAGAGGGGCATTATGTGCCGGTGGAGAAGAGGGGCATTATGTGCAGGTGGAGAAGAGGGGCATTATGTGCAGGTGGAGAAGAGGGGCATTATGTGCAGGTGGAGAAGAGGGGCATTATGTGCAGGTGGAGAAGAGGGGCATTATGTGCAGGTGGAGAAGAGGGGCATTATGTGCAGGTGGAGAAGAGGGGCATTATGTGCCGGTGGAGAAGAGGGGCATTATGTGCCGGTGGAGAAGAGGGGCATTATGTGCCGGTGGAGAAGAGGGGCATTATGTGCAGGTGGAGAAGAGGGGCATTATGTGCAGGTGGAGAAGAGGGGCATTATGTGCAGGTGGAGAAGAGGGGCATTATGTGCAGGTGGAGAAGAGGGGCATTATGTGCAGGTGGAGAAGAGGGGCATTATGTGCAGGTGGAGAAGAGGGGCATTATGTGCAGGTGGAGAAGAGGGGCATTATGTGCAGGTGGAGAAGAGGGGCATTATGTGCAGGTGGAGAAGAGGGGCATTATGTGCCGGTGGAGAAGAGGGGCATTATGTGCAGGTGGAGAAGAGGGGCATTATGTGCAGGTGGAGAAGAGGGGCATTATGTGCAGGTGGAGAAGAGGGGCATTATGTGCCGGTGGAGAAGAGGGGCATTATGTGCAGGTGGAGAAGAGGGGCATTATGTGCCGGTGGTGAAGAGGGGCATTATGTGCAGGTGGAGAAGAGGGGCATTATGTGCCGGTGGAGAAGAGGGGCATTATGTGCAGGTGGAGAAGAGGGGCATTATGTGCCGGTGGAGAAGAGGGGCATTATGTGCAGGTGGAGAAGAGGGGCATTATGTGCCGGTGGAGAAGAGGGGCATTATGTGCAGGTGGAGAAGAGGGGCATTATGTGCAGGTGGAGAAGAGGGGCATTATGTGCAGGTGGAGAAGAGGGGCATTATGTGCAGGTGGAGAAGAGGGGCATTATGTGCAGGTGGAGAAGAGGGGCATTATGTGCCGGTGGAGAAGAGGGGCATTATGTGCCGGTGGAGAAGAGGGGCATTATGTGCAGGTGGAGAAGAGGGGCATTATGTGCAGGTGGAGAAGAGGGGCATTATGTGCAGGTGGAGAAGAGGGGCATTATGTGCAGGTGGAGAAGAGGGGCATTATGTGCAGGTGGAGAAGAGGGGCATTATGTGCCGGTGGAGAAGAGGGGCATTATGTGCAGGTGGAGAAGAGGGGCATTATGTGCAGGTGGAGAAGAGGGGCATTATGTGCAGGTGGAGAAGAGGGGCATTATGTGCAGGTGGAGAAGAGGGGCATTATGTGCAGGTGGAGAAGAGGGGCATTATGTGCCGGTGGAGAAGAGGGGCATTATGTGCAGGTGGAGAAGAGGGGCATTATGTGCAGGTGGAGAAGAGGGGCATTATGTGCCGGTGGAGAAGAGGGGCATTATGTGCCGGTGGAGAAGAGGGGCATTATGTGCCGGTGGAGAAGAGGGGAAGGAGCAGAGAGCGTGGAGAGTGGAGGGGGCGGTGGGCAGATGGGGACGAGTGAGGAGAGGAGGAAGAGGGTGATGGAGAGATGAGGGCGGAAATCTCGCATCACCCCACTTCACCAAGAGTCTCCGCGACTGCAGCGCACACATGACAAGCCACCACCACAGCACAGCACATGCGCCCATCAACACTAAACTGCGCCACCAAGTCCCCAACCCCCATCCTCCCTGGAACTGGAAGGCCCACAGTCCACGGCCCACACGCAATTGCTGCCGGCCCCACTAGCAGTAGAGAGGATAGATGCAGCCGTGTGTACTGAGAGCACTGACTACAACCCCCCAGGGGCAGGGCAGCACTGACTGGTGGCGGAGTCAACGAAGTGGCGGTTGAGGCTGAACTCCGCCACCAGCGCGTCCAGCACCTGGTCGTGGTAGCAGCGGTCCAAGATGTCAAAGCACGCCTCCCACCCCTCCGCCAACCCGCCCTTCACCGCGCGCACCGCCACCGGGATGAGCGCGTCACTGCCGCGGTCCTCCATGCCTGCAGATATGCAAACAGCAAGTATACGACGTGATGGAGGTGATGGAGGTGATGGAGGTGATGGAGGTGATGGAGGTGATGGAGGTGATTTCTGGCTGTACCATTGTAGTGGCTCTTAGGATCACCATACCCAAAACCTAAACCCAAGAGCAACAAGCAACGGGTGGCACGCACCGAGGAAGCGAGCAGCGAAGAGCACGGCGGCAGCCTGGCTGGGCGAGAGCTTGGGGCGCGAGCCGTAGCACCAGCGGGCGATGATGGAGAAGGAGCGCGGCCCCCCGGGGAAGCCACTCAGCGCCACAATGGGCAGCCCCGTGGCCAGGGCGAGGGGAGTCAGCGGCATGCAGCCCTGCTCCTCCTCAACTGTGCTGGCGGTGGCGGTGGCAGCGGTGGCGGCGGGGAGGAGGGAGTGGATGAGCGGGCAGTGCGGGAGGAGCACGTGGCGGTGCAGCGGCCACGAGACCCCATCGATGTCCACCAGCATGTCCGCATCCAGCCCGCGGTGCTGTAGCGTCTCCCATGGGCACGGGTCCGATGCCATGCCCTGCCAACACAGAGGGTGTAGCGCGGGGGGCGTGCAAGGGGATCGTGAGAGAAAGGGGTTGAAGGGGCGAGGGCCATGGGTGTATGGCATATTGGTGCAGATCCGTGTGGTGTGATGTGATGTGATGTGATGTGATGTGATGTGATGTGATGTGATGTGATGTGATGTGATGTGATGTGATGTGATGTGATGTGATGTGATGTGATGGCCCATGGAGCTAACGAGGGACATGGATCCCATGGCATGCAGTGACGAGGGACATGGATCCCATGGCATGCACTGACGAGGGACATGGATCCCATGGCATGCAGTGACGAGGGACATGGATCCCATGGCATGCAGTGACGAGGGACATGGATCCCATGGCATGCACTGACGAGGGACATGGATCCCATGGCATGCACTGACGAGGGACATGGATCCCATGGCATGCACTGACGAGGGACATGGATCCCATGGCATGCACTGACGAGGGACATGGATCCCATGGCATGCACTGACGAGGGACATGGATCCCATGGCATGCACTGACGAGGGACATGGATCCCATGGCATGCAGTGACGGCGAGGGGGTGGAGGGATGGGGAGGGAAGGGATGGGTGCAGTGAAGAGGTGTGATGCAGCGACCACTCCCAGTGGCACGGCCTTTGGGAGGACATCTCCCACGGCCGAGGTGACGGTCCCATGCCACGCCCTGCTGCTGGATGCGAGCCACGGTGGACAGGTGCGTGAGAGGGCCGTGAGCGGGCAAGGGCAGTATGCCGCATGGGCCCGGACCAGGCAGTGGCAAGCACGAGTCCCAGGGGGAAGGGCGGGAGCCGTGGTGCTGACTGAGGCGAGGCGTGGTGCTGACTGAGGCGAGGCGTGGTGCTGACTGAGGCGAGGCGTGGTGCTGACTGAGGCGAGGCGTGGTGCTGACTGAGGCGAGGCGTGGTGCTGACTGAGGCGAGGCGTGGTGCTGACTGAGGCGTGGTGCTGACTGAGGCGTCGTGCTGACTGAGGCGTCGTGCTGACTGAGGCAAGGCGTGGTGCTGACTGAGGCGTGGTGCTGACTGAGGCGTGGTGCTGACTGAGGCGTGGTGCTGACTGAGGCGAGGCGTGGTGCTGACTGAGGCGTGGTGCTGACTGAGGCGTGGTGCTGACTGAGGCGTGGTGCTGACTGAGGCGTGGTGCTGACTGAGGCGTGGTGCTGACTGAGGCGTGGTGCTGACTGAGGCGTGGTGCTGCTGACTGAGGCGTGGTGCTGACTGAGGCGTGGTGCTGACTGAGGCGTGGTGCTGACTGAGGCGTGGTGCTGACTGAGGCGTGGTGCTGACTGAGGCGTGCAGGGAATGACTGAGGCGTGCAGGGAATGGGAATCACTCACCTGCGCGGTCTCCTAATCCTGCTGCTACCACCACACCAGCAGCACCGCTCACCTGCGCGGTCTCCTAATCCTGCTGCTACCACCACACCAGCAGCACCGCTCACCTGCGCGGTCTCCTAATCCTGCTGCTACCACCACACCAGCAGCACCGCTCACCTGCGCGGTCTCCTAATCCTGCTGCTACCACCACACCAGCAGCACCGCTCACCTGCGCGGTCTCCCAATCCTGCTGCTACCACCACACCAGCAGCACTGCTCACCTGCGCGGTCTCCAGGGCGAGGCGGGTGCTGGCGGCACGCACGCTCTCCACCTCCAGAGCCGCCTGCTGCAGCGCCCTCTCCTGCCGCCCACGCCGCTCCCTCTCCACCTCCCCCCGCATCCCCCTTCTTTCCCCCCTCCCCCTCCCTCCCCCTCTCCCCCTCCGCCCTCACACCCCTCGCCCGCTGCTCCCTCTCCACCTGCTGCGCCAACACCCTCCCCTCGCTCCACCATCCCCTCCCCTGCTCCCTCCCTCTCCCACCCCACCCCCCCCCCCACCCGCCACCCCTCTCCCCACCATCCGCTCCCCCATCCCCCCCATGACCCCCGTCCTCACAGCACATCTTGCTAGCGAGGGCGAGCTTCTCGTCGGACAGCGCAGTGACGTCCACCATGCTCCACAGCTCGGGCACGGGGGGGAGGTGGCGGCAGTCGGGGAAGAGCAGGTTCAGCAGAGCGATGAGGTCGATCAGAAAGCTCGACAGGCCGGGCCATGCAGGGCAGAGGCGCAGGAAGGGCAGCCACGTGTGGTGCTGTGATTGGTGCGTCATGCGTGCTGCCAGGTAGTGCACGTAGTCACACACCAGATCGCCACCCAGCGCTGCCGCCGGGGACCCCACCGCCCGCACCGCCATACGCCGCCCGCTGCTGCTGCTGCTGGTGATGCTGCTGCTGGTGATGCTGGTGCTAGTGCCATTAACGGTGCTGGCGGTGGGCGCTGGCGGTGGGTGCGATGGCAGCGGGGGCAGGGCCCCTCCAGCATGGGGGGGCAGGGGTGGGATGGGGGGGTGCGGGGCGTCGGAGACAGAGGCATCACGCAGGGAGTGGAGGAGCAGCAGGCTGGTGGCGGGGCCCAGGAACACCAGGTCCGCCAGGGACAGCGCCGTCGGCATGGCTGTCACCCGGTGCGCCAGCCGTGAGAACAGCAGCTCCTTGCGCCGCCCCACGCCCGCCCGCACACTCTCCCCCATGCCATCGCCCTTGCTGCTCGCGATCGCTAGCTCACTGGACGGCACGTCAGTGTCGCTCTTGGTTTCCCGCAGCCCTGAGCTCACAGCGCCTGCACCCCCCCTCACGCCCCTGCCTCCCACACGCTGCACGGACGATGCCCTTTGAACCCCCTTGCTGTTCACCGGATGTCTTGGCCCTTCCTTTCCTTGTAACGAGTCCCCTTGTAACGAGGCTGAGTTTCTCGTCTTACCAACACCACCCAGTTGATCGCCGTGCCCCTGGCCGTGTGCATCCGTGAGTGCGTGACCTTCCTGCAGAGCCACACAGTGCTTGAGCAGCACGATCAGGTACTGCACCGACGGCATGTAGCGCGTGCTCGACCTCAGCCCCCCCTTTTGCTGCCGCCTCAATGCTTGCTGCTGTGCTGCTGCCGCTGCCGCTGATGCCCCGCCTTCCGCGCCCACGCCTCCTCCTCCCACTGCTGCTGCTGCTGGCGGGCGGTGGTGCAGGTCCTGCATGGCTGCAGCGTGCTCCAGCGCCTCGCTGCACGCATACTCAAACAGCATCGCCCGCCCCACCTCCTCCCTCTCCTCCGCCTCCTCCGCACCCTCCTCCCCACACACCACCTTGTATGCCTCTCCCCCTCCACTCGCCACCCTCCTCTCTGAACCACCGCTGCTTGAAAGCCCAGTGGACGAACGTGCTTCCCCACCTCCTGCTGCAGCTTTTTCTGCTGCAACATCACCATCCCCACCAGCAGTAGCAGCAGCAGTGGCAGCGGCAGTGAGGGAGGGGATGTGTTGGAAGAGGCAGGAGTGGGAGAGCGCAGCGAGGCAGTTGCCGATGCGCACGAAGCTCACACTGGCCTGCCGGCACGCCTGCAGCACGCACGCCAGCACGGGCGCGGGCAGGGCGGCCAGGCGCGCCAGCAGGTGGTGCAGCGCCGCCATGCGCGTGGGGTCGTCGAAGGGGCCCGACAGCATGGCGCTCAGATGGTCTGCACGTGGGTCAGTGTGGTGGGGTGGGGTGGTGCAGGGGTGGTGCAGGGGTGGTGCAGGGGTGGTGCAGGGGTGGTGCAGGGGTGGTGCAGGGGTGGTGCAGGGGTGGTGCAGGGGTGGTGCAGGGGAAACATAAGCATGAGTGCGCGAGGGGACAGGTATCACGTGGTAATGGAGTGGCAGGCAGGCGATCAGAGCGAGCAGGTGCGGTTGCGGAGCATGGGAAGAGCGCTCACTGCATGAGAAGATGAAGAGGATAAAGCGAATGAAGACGAGGGAGGGGTGAAAGGGGGAGGCGGGACGGGAAGGGGAGGGCGAGAGGGGTGGTGGGTGGGGGAACAGAATAGAGTGAGCAGGCGGGCGGGTGTGGGTGGATGGGATGGCGCACGTGCCTGCCACGCATGCTGACGCGTGCAGCGGGAGGTCCAGCTTCAGCGCCTCCCTCATTACAAGCTCGTCCCTCGCTACTGTCTCCAGCAGCCGCAGGCTGTCCTCCCACTCGTTAAGGACATACTCGTTAATGTACCTCCACGCCTGCCGCTGCAACGAATCCTCCTCGCTCCCCTCACACATCTCGAAGAACGCTGCGCAGCACAGCAGCTGCAACGCGTTAGTGGCATCCGCGTTAACAGGCAGCCCGTAGCAGTACTGTAGAATGCTTTCAAACGCATCCATCCCGCCGGGCACAGGCGGAATCGTGATCTCCACGCATTTCCCGAAGCCGCTGCCCGGCGCGTCCTCCCACGCGCGGCGGAACCACTTGCTGCGCGCGTAGAGGAGGCACGCGGGCGCGGAGAACATGGCGCCGTCGGCGAGCGTCAGAATGGCGTCGTGGAACTGCGGGCAGTGCTGCAGCTCCGCCAGCGACGCCGCGCGCGACTGAAACGCGACTCCGGCGAAACCCATCCGTTGGAATGTGGGGATGATGTGAAGGGATTCGCGTTATCGGCGCACGACCGTGCGGCAGGGAGGAATCTGAAGCCGCATGATTCTATCGGGACTCGGGCGAAGGCCAGAAGTGCTAACAAAGAAAGTGCAGGTTTGCCAGCGGTGAGAGGAAATTCGTTCGTTACAATGCCTCGCCCTTGCGTCGACTACAGCATAAGTTTTTCTCCCGTCAACGCCCCCCTCTGTGCTTCCTCCTCTTGCACCTCGGCTATCACGAGCACCACAGCGAATGCACAACAGGATGAGCGACATCGCATCAGGTGAGGCATGTCGTGGAATGCGTTTGCCATGCACGAAAAGTTGGTTGAATAGCTTTCGCCACACCAAGGGTGCTTGAGAATTGGTTACTGATATTTTCGCCCAGGTAGTTGAATTTTAGTCGGACCACGCGAGAGGAACGTGCAACACGACAAACGGCATTCATGACTGCTTCACGTGTTACAGACTTGACTTCACCCTGAAACAACATGTTATGAGTTGCGCGGAATAACGAACAGCAATAGCGTAACTCAATGAACTGAACATACAGTGAAGGCACGACGTGCTAATATAGTGACTAGCCTAGCTAGGAGGGAACCTCGGGGATGCGAGGCTGGATGCAGGTTTGGCGACCGGGAAACCAAAGGCGACGCGGAGCAGCCTTGGAATTATGAATGTCGGCCGAAAGTGCGAAGTCCGAATTGTCGGGGTCAGGGTCCTCGCTAGGATTCTAGGGGGCCTGATGCATCAGACGGGCCCTTTGCTACTTCTGTGTCTGATTGGTCAGACATTTTACAGAAAATCTTGTCTGACCAATCAAATAGGACAATAGTTGAAGATTGTTTCGGACGAAAAATCGGACTTGTTGTGTGTACTTGACTGGTCACGGCAGATTCGCTCTGACAGCAAATTCGCCCTGGCACGGTGGTTTCGTGCTGTCAGAGCACAGCGAATTCGCCCAATCACAGTTTTGTGATGTCAGAGAGCAGCGATTTCGCCCAATCATAGAAGAATTACCCTGACACAAGAGCAGATTCGCCCTTACACAAGAGATTCACCCTGTCAGAGCATGTTTCGCCCAATCATAGCAGGTCCGGTTGACATCTCAGATCAGGAAATGCTCGAAACTGTAGGCTATAACATGATTCGGTTTCAGATGTATCAGAAAATACGTTTCTGATGCATCAGATGAAACTAAAAAATGATTTCTAGCCAATCGATGAAATCGAAATCAAATATAGGAAAATCAGATTAACTAAGAAGAAATCGCCTGATTTCTAAGACAAACAGATATAAATGTCTGATAGCGAGGACCCTGGTCGGGGTTGTACGCATAGCAGTGAACCCCAATAAGGAAAAAAAATTTTCCTTACACTTACCCCCCCCCCCCCCCCCCAGGGCCTCAGATTCGTTTGGGGGTACACTGAGGCCTCAGGGCAGTTTATAGAAAATCAGAAATTTCCCTGATTTGCCAGGGCTGCACAAGGTGAGGTATCCTGAAATGTCAGTGCTGCAATTGTCCATATCCTGGCAGCTCAGTGCTACATTTCGTACAATCCTGTGTACTTCGCGAGTGATATGTTAGCGGGGATCGAAAGTTGGAAATTGCTCCTTATTCGAAGTGTGGAATTCATAGCATGTTAGTGTGCTGTATTAAATTGCTCCCTATCCTGCGTGAGGTATGGTAGCGGGTAAGGTGGCAGCCTGTTACACAAGAGGCCGCCTGGACGATTCCTGCTGGGATCGGCGTATGAAGCGCTCACCCATGTACATCTTAGGCCCCGAAACACAGGAGATTTTTGGTACAGTACATATCGCTTCAGGGCGAGATTCGACACTATCCTGAGTCGTCAGGGCTAAACCTACAGTGTTATCCTGAGTTTACAATAACCATTATACTGATTTTACAGGACAAGTAATTCCCTTATGCTGTTTTTTCAGGAGAAGCACACGACACCTATCCTGAATTCAGGAGAATCAGGATAATTTATCTTAATAACATAGGCCCTGCCCCCCCCTTTAAAAAGGTGGTCAATATCCGCAGCTCGCTTGCGGGCGAGGTAATCACCAAGAAGCTGTGAAGTTTCAAGCGAGGCGAATGGCACCCACGTGTTGTCCTCACTGGTGCGGTCAACCCAACGGAGTAAGAAGTCCACGTAGCGGCCAGAGGCGTCGACCCGAACACGGTGCGCCAAAATTTTCGACGGGCCGAGTGTCGGTTCTGGGACAGGCCGAGCTGTCGGGGCGGTGTTCTGGCGGGCGATGTCTCTCGTAACAGACACGAACTTGCGAAGAAGGCTGACATGGAAGGTGTCATGAACACGCCAGTCGTCGGGTAGCAGCAGCTTCGCGGTGACGGGTATCACCATCTGGATGATACGAAATGGCCCACAAAATCGTGGTCGTAGCTTGGACGAGCCGGGTAGGCAGAGTTTTTTCGTGTCGAGCAGCAACTGTCATGACAATTTTCCGTCACTGAAGATTCGTGTATTTACTGGTAGTCGTATTAGCCTTGCGAATTGTGTCGGCTGCTTTCTCACGGATGTCATGGAGCTCCGTCACAAAGTGTTGTGACCGTGGGACTGGGTTTTCGAGTGTAGTCGTAGTTGGCACCATCGGGTCCATCACGTAATTCAGGAAAAACGGGGAGTGATTAGTCGTACTAGACGGGGCGTTGTTGAACGCGAACTCCAGCATGGTGAGCCAATTTTCCCAGCGAGCGAGGTCAGGGCACTTCGTTCGGATGAGCTGCTCCATCGTCTGATTGGTCTACTCGGACTGGCCGTCGGTTTGCGGGTGGTATGCCGACGACAATTGTAGCTTTGTACCATATTGCACCCACGTCTACTTCCAAAATTTTCGAAGTGAACTTCGGGTCCCTGTCGCTGATGATCGCTAACGGGATGCCGTGGAGTCGCACAACAGTTGAGATGAAGAGGCGCGCAGTTTCTTTGGCCGTGATTGTCGTGCGGCATGGTGCGAAGTGCGCCATTTTCGTGAGGCGATCGATGACGATGAGCACCACGTCGTTGCCGGACGGGCCAGCTGGCAGCTCCATGACGAAATACATCGTCACTTGTTGCCACGGTCGTTCGGGTGGCTCGAGGGGTTGCAGCAATCCAGCTGGCCGCTGTCGTGTCAATTTTATAGCTTGGCACACCCTGCATGAGTACACGTAACGCTGCAAGTCGTTAGAAGAGTCAGGCCAATAATATGACGGTGCATCATTTTCTGGTTTTGTCAACCTCGAAATGTCCGGAGAGGTTGGAATCGTGGGCCTCCTGGATGAGAAGTTCTTCCAGCAGCTGATAAGCGGGAACCCAAATCCGATGGGTTCCAACTTTTAGGTAATAGTTCCCCTTCTGCGTCGTCGCCTGCTGGTGATTTCCAGTCGTGAAGAATGGGTCCGTAGTGTAGCCGTGGGTGAATAGTCCTGTAAGTAGCGGGTTCGAGCACTACAACGGATTGAACTATCGAGCGAGTAAGGGCGTCGACAATGTTATTCACCCCTTTCTTGTACGTGATGCGGTAGGTGAAATAGCTCTCCATGTAATCGAGCCACCGAATTTGTCGCGGGTTGAGGTTGGGCTGGGCTGGCCGGAACTGTAGGGACTTGTGGTCCGTACAAACTGTGACGTCGGCGCCCGTCAAGTAGCAGCGCCACAGTTTGAACGCGTGAATAATGGCGAGCATCTCCTTGTATCGGTTAGTTTCGCTCGGCTGCCTGCAGCTTGCGTGATTTGTAGGCGATCGCTGCAGCCCGTTCCCAAAATCTTAGAGGAACAAAGCATCGATGGTAAAATCTAAGGCGTCGGTGACGACTTCGAACGGCTTGGATGGGTCGGCGATGCGCAAAACTGGAGGGGAAACGAGAAAATTCTTCAACTCCTGAAAATTTGCCTCTGCCTCCTCCCCCACACAAACTTTTGTCCTTGTACAGCAGATCAGTCAGCGGGCCGGTTATCCTTGCCATATTCGGAATAAACCGCCGGACATTATTCACGAACCCCAAAAAACTCTGAAGTTCCGTAACATTAGTCGGGGACTTCCACTCCTGTATGGTCTTGATTTTTGCCAGGTCAATTTTAATGTTGTCGCGGGAAATAACGTGCCCCAGAAACGGCAAGTCCTGCTTAAAGAATTCGCACTTAGAGCCCTTGGTGATGAGGTGGTTGTCCTGCAGGTGCGTAAACACTGCGTCGAGGTCGCGGAGGTGCTGCTCATGTGTCCTGCTAAAAATCATGATATCGTCTAAATAGACGATCACACAGCGGTCGAGAAGATTGCGGAAGACCTTGTTCATGGTTAGTTGAAATGTCGAAGGCGCATTCATGAGGCCGAACGACATCACAGTGAACTCGTAGCTGCCGTAGCGGGTTCGAAACACGATCTTGTGGCAGTCGTCGGCGAAGACTCGAATCTGGTGGTAATGTCAGGAAGAATAGGAGCGTGGCCTAGGCTTAGTAGCCTAGGCCACAGTAGGAGGTAGTAGGTTGTGCCCTAGGACTAGGGTTTGTGGTATACGAAGGAGAATTGGAGAAGTGAGAATGGGAATGATGATTTGAACTAGCAAGCAGCAGGATACATATAGGAAACCCTAAGGGGTTGTACTCACTATTGAGCACCCCACTGCAGGCTAGACAAATAACATAATCTGACACACCCCCATAGCCAAAGTGGGGTGTAATCAGCACACGTGAGAAGTCACAGCAATAGTTCACAATTATCAGCAAAGCTAGTGGCAGTCACAGGAGGCCAGTGAGGAGGAGGAGGAACTGTGGAGGGAGAGAAGAGAGGAGGCGACGACTGAAGTTGCAGACACACGGGCACCAGGAGCACCAGGTTGCAACCTCCTCCAACTGTCTCACTCCCCCCTACACTCACCCCCAGTGTCACCACTCGCTTCTCGCCCACATCACCCCCTTAGCGCCACTCCCTCGTCTCCCACACATCCACCCCCCCGCAGCGGCAGCTGCAGC